AAGTCTTAGTCATTAATAAGCCCCAAGTTTCATTTGCAAAATAGCCTCTCTACCCTCCCCTACAGTTTAGTAAAAATGAAAATAATTTTTTAAAAATGTACTAAATATATAAACCAACTGGAGTGAGAATAAATTTGGAACTGCATCAATAGGTAGGAGATGACAAGAATTGAAGTTTCAATATTTTTATGAATGGATATTCCATATCATGTAATTTTACATTATTTCTTGTCTTACAAATGACTCTGCTGATGTTTGATTAAATCTTTCTACAGGGTGTCTCAAAAAGAAAAGAAGAAAAAAAGATACCTACATGTATTTTCACACATAAATTATAAGAAATATACTGAATATTTTAGAAAGAGGCAACTACATGTACAAGGAAAAAAGGCCAGGATATCCTCTGTCCTCTGTCCTGGATAACTGAGCAAACATTGCATTTATAAAAGAGGTCCAAATATTAATCAGGGCCCACTTTTGACCTGACCACTTGTTTTACTGGTCAGTGGTTCTGCTTCTTGTATCTGCTCATCACTATCTACAATACAAGTTTATAACTTTTTACAAGTATGTTTTTCTTCCAGCCGTTTATGATTTATACAAGTCTACTGGATGTACATGTATTTCTTTGGTCTAGAACTGCATGACTACTGTGTTTTGGAATTCAAGAACAAGATGCTCAGCACCTAACAGACTCAACGGTAAGAAGTTTTAATGAACTTTTATTCTGTGAGGTTTGGAGCAGGAGATATGGATAAAAAGAGCCGAAATCAATATGAAGAAAGTGATGATGGCCCAGGAATCAATACCACATGATACAGGCTTCCTATTTATACAGACGGGTTTATAACGAGGTAAGCCATCTAGAGGAAATGAACGTTATTGATGAAACTAGGAACCAGGCAACCATGCAAATGAAGTTTAGATGAGCTGCATTTGTGGGGGCCCATCACACTGACTCGTTACGCAGGAAATTGAACAAATTTGGATTTGCCAGTGGCAGGCAGCAAAATAATAAGGCTTCTGTATTCCCTTTATGTTATTCAGATGCTAATGAATGGCTGAATTGAACATAGTGAAATTGTAATTTGAAGAACAGATTTTTGTCAAATTTGTTCCAGGCCTGTGTTTATTTTTACCTGTACTCTTATGCACACGAACGCATGTCTTTTAAACCATAACATGAAAAGTGCTTGAAAAGGGAAACCTTTTAAAGGGAAAACAGGAAAAAAGAATCTAACTGCAGGAAAGAACATACATAAATGACAACAATTGTGTTGAAGTTATTTTCTAAAATAGGCCATATACCGTACATTGTACATACGGTACACACGTTGATTTCTGAAAGGAGTGTGTGCTGATCTACATTTTATCCTCAGCAACCATTCTGGCATAACAATTATACCGTTCCATAGCGAGACGCCAAACAATGACTATGCCAGAACTGATCACAGTCAAGAAAAAATACAAGGCTAATCTGATTTTGGTCTGGTTATTAAAATCCTGGGGTTACCTTCTAATTTATTTCCCTCTTGCTCATATTAAAAAAGCAAGGCAGGCTAATCAATCATCCCCTGGACTTAATAACAGAATTTCCTCCAGAGTTGATGTGCAAACAGACTGATCAAGGGAAACGGGAGGGGATGAGGGACGTACAATGTCTGGTAATGAATAGAAAACGCACTGCAATATATTGAATTTGGATTTCAATATGGTCTCTGTCTTATTTGGAGATTCATGTAAGCTGGATTGGAAGTTGTGTTCACAGACATGACAGAGGTGCATATGTGTACATGTACTACATCATCTAAATTTCAGAGAAAGATCAGGAGGTTAAAACCCGTGGATTCTTATAAATTACGACCAAGCAACTTGTTTTACAACATTATTATTACAATGAAGAAAAATAAGCTGTAGCCTTTATAATTGTCAGGTTATTAAATAAAGGTTTTGAGAATGACAGGATTTATTATATTTTCACATACAATAAATACATGTGCAATTAAATACATGTACTTGTGCTACATGTATGGGTCAATGTTGCCTAAAGTAAAGGTGTGTACCGGTATCCTTGGTGGTGGGTAGGCCTACATTGTGCCGATACATAAAATGTCCAACTGTTGTTGGTATTGAAATAAACATAAGGACTTCACATGATCACTTCTGACCCAATAAAACTTCACAACTTTCTGCCTGTGAATTAAAAAAAGCCACCAAAGTACTGTAAGACTAATGCAACAAATCACCACTTGGTTAATTTGCTTACAGATTTACTATTTTTGATTATTTCAACAGATTATTTTCTTCAGACAAAAGACTGTCAGAAGTCAATTTTGTCATTGAAATTACCAATACACAGGGAAAAAGTGATAAGGAATATTTGGTTTTTTTTTAATGACTAACATACCGTACATGTACACGTATCAACGAATAAATAATTAACCCATAATCATAACACTAACCCTCCTCAATCCTCCAAAGTCCTTCGGGCAGTTTTGGAGGATTTTGGCTGATTGAGCAACATACAATTTTGGAGGATTTTGCTCTTTTGGCTGGACCATTACTTTTGCATTTTTTTCTTTTTCATTTGGACTATATTGTTGTGTATTTTATAATGTTTTTACTGTAACAATCTTGCAATTTGGCCTGAGGGCCACGAGTTGAATGAAAATAAACCAATATAAACAAACATTCAGTATCGATTGATTTTGGAGGATTGAGGATGTACAGTGTACGGTGTTTGGAGAGAAGGAGGATTTTGGAGGATTGAGTATGAATGCATTTTGAGAGGCAGGGCTGTTGGAGGATTTGAAGGATTGAGGCAGTGGGTATCCTTCATTTGAACATTGTATGTGTAACTGTAAGTACAAAATTTTGGCGGTTTGGAAGATTTTGGAGGATATAGGATGGTTCCTAGCAGAAAGGGCCTAGGGGGTGTGTTGTACAGATGTGGCAATTCATACAATTTGGTGCCAGTTATTTTCCTGCCTCAGGGAAACACAGGATTGAAAAAACAATCTGTCCGTTAGATTTTCATTAGAAAAACGTACATATCTCAAAAGATAGATTAAAAAAAAAAGGTTTAAAATGATACCTTACAATGCACTTGTGGGACAAAATATGGATGTGATACAATATGGATGTGAATATAGTTTGACTATTTATACACACAGATAGGCCCTACATTGTACAAAGCACATAAATTAATTAAATGGCACTTTATTTTCATGTGACCGCGATGGCACCCCCCCCCCCCCCCAGAAACAAATCAGGTTTTGAAAGGTAGGCCTAATGCTTCTATATTTTGTCATGTAAAATATACAACAAAATTGTTTAATAAAAAAATTAACTATCAACTTTCTCCATATTGTAAGCCATGCAGGGCTACATGCTACATTTCCTGAAAACTTGTCTTCCCTAAATTTGAAATCTAGATTGTTTTTCCAGTTGTATTCAACTTTACGTACATGTACCGGTACCTGGTTAAAAAGTGGAATAAATTGCATTCCATAGACATCTAAAAACCATGTGATTTTTTTCGGGGGAAATTTGGAGAAAGTTTGTCTGAAAAACTCTTGATAGTAATTTTTGAGTCAATTGACAAAAAGAGTAGGAAATCTGAGCTCATACAATCAATGTACATTTAGGTGTTACATTTAGTTTTTTTTTTGAAATTGGATACAGGATAACCGAGATACACTATGACCTTTTAAAACAATTCCAAGGTACTTTTTGGATGACTTCTCTATGGAGATACTTGGCATGTCTTTGCTTTGTTTACAGACATGATCCTTTTTTAGGTAAACAATTTCAACATTAAATAAATCAATAACTATTTTAATATTCAGGCAGTCTGGGATTTTGAATAATATAAGCCTAAGGCGAGGCATGCCTCAGTTAAAAAAACCACCACTTTTCATTTGCCAAGTTAGGTTTTAATCTGTCAAACTTACTACATAATGAAAGTAATATATAACAATCAATATTTTTGAAATTATGATTGTTTGTGTTCTGCTTCAGTTGTGGACCGAGTTGTAAACAAATAAGTCAACAAATTAAAATTGTCAATGGTCATTAACAAAATATTCTGTTTGTGTTGGTTTCTTAAGTAGTTTCTTACGAGAACCACACTGATGCGAAATACTAGTTTCTGTTTGTTTTGTTGTACGAGTTGCATGCTTCTAAATAAGAACACAGTTTGAAAAAATGTTGCAACCTGACGCCACTTCCGGGATTGTGTAAAAAGTCTATAGGCCTAGTCAAGAAAAACTTTAAGTATTTCCTAACAAAATTGGAAATGTTTCTCAGTCCGAGATTCATGTCTTATCATTATTTTTGCAACGAAAGAAAAAGCAGCGTCAGGTCGCAACATTCTTTCCCAAACATATTACAAACATTAAATTTTAATAGGCCTACACTACACACTAGGCTACAGCATGAATCCAAACTTGACCATGGCTAGGCTGTACATGTAGGCCTAGATGTACATGTACATGTTGACTGTACTGCGGTTGAGGTATTGAGGGTTGTAATTCTACTTCCATGCATACACAGACAGACATAAGGAGAAAACATTCAGAAAAGCAGCTGTTATCACTCATTGTCAGCAAGCTGGACATTAAGTTTCAGACCGCGCCCGTTTAAAATTACACTCACTCAATCTTGAGTCACGCAATCATATCAGTGCAGACCAATGGCCCGACCTAAGGCCAAGCCTTGGGACACAGTTGTTTACAATGACAGGGGCCATTCACTATGCACGCTGTGCCAACACTACACAAAATACGTACTGTACATGTACATGTACACAATGCTCCGCACAGCGCTGTGTGCACTCCATATTGAACCAGAAAATAGCAGTTCGATCAATTTCTGATACTTGTCAATCTTATCTCAACAGAAAAGGGCCCAGAACTCGGCAAAAACACCAACAATTGAGATAAAAGTTTTCTGTGGGGACCTGAGGGTACTATGCGGTCATTTTAGAACTGGAAACTTACCTGCAAAACCGGCAAATCGAAGTTTTTCCAGTACTGAAACATCGACGAGAGGTTGGCCGCAGCCATGTTGATCGATCACTGAACAAAGAAATCAAACTCTAGATTTTGTGCACGAAAATTGCATTGCTAGCTCGACGAGGGTCGACGACGTACATACGTACGGGCCTCGGATCCGGACGTGGACGTACGCGTACGCGGACACGGCAAACCAGCACTGGCATTAACCATTTTTATTGGAGGGGTGATATTGTATAATTGATCATCCGTGGAAAAATACAATCGTTATTATATTATTTCGACAACATTTGTCAGAAAATACACATAAATATTAATAATCATGATAATAATACGAATGATAATAGCAACAACAATATATTAGATATCTCGGAAAGATATTTTGGATAATTTCAATAGCTTTCAAATAATTTCATGGAATTCTATCTCCGTCATAATGCGGCAATGTATCGGTCTCCAATCATATATTATTATAATTTGCATGATACGTGTGCTATTGGCTATCCTCAAGATCGCTACTCCAGAATGATGCTTGGCCAATAAAGTCGGACGAAAATGCTTTAAGTAAAGAGAGTGAAATTGTAATAATCTATTCTAGACACTGTTATTGACTGATATGTACATGTACATGTATACTTTCTTCAGTTTCAAACACCGACATTATAGTAGCCTCATTTGCGTCGGGGATGGTAAATAGTGATATTGAACGGGGTTGCGGTATTAAACCGCATGCAAGTTTTTATTTGAAGGATTTATTTTTTCCACATATCATGATGGCGCGGTCAGCAGATGCGAAATGACACACTCATGATTCCCTGACGGTCATCGAGTAAACGTCTGCAATAGGTTCGAGTCCCACCCGAGTAAGCTTTTGAATTATCTCGCAACAAGCTCTCAGACACGGTACTGAAGGTCTGTAGACAAATCCCGGCAACTATCAATAAATCACGAAAGCGTTCTTCAATAATTGTGCTAGTTGTTTAGATAATTCGTCATTATGATGGACACTTGGACAGTTGCTTTGCACAATGAACAATCATACAATTATTGTTTTTCCATTGAAGTGGGCCTCGTGGGCTATCTTGTGAATATCTAACTTATGATTAGACTAGCCGCTCGCCTGCTCGCACTACTAACGTCTTGGGCCCTTTTCTTTATTTTCTCCCTAGGCTTTCACAGGGAACCAATCAGCATCGCGAAATTGTTTATAGTCGGTCTCGATCTTGCGGGCCGGGGGTATCACTGCGATGCATGGTCACCACACGCGCGCAGCGCCATTTTGCCGAAGATATCCATATTTAACACCAACGGTCTAATTTACATAAAATGGCCACGCCCCATTGCTACAGATTTCCCAAGACGTAAGTGCGAGAAAGAAAAGAAAAAAGTGCATATTAAACACTGACGTCTTGGGCCAAGACTAGCCTCGTGTGTGTACAGTGATCACGTGCCAATCCTGCCACGAGTACCTCCCCCCCCCCTCCCCGGTGCATTTTATTCGTCACTGTATATGCCTATGAACATACATGTAGTCAAGCCCGGTTCAGGGTTTAGCCTCTGTACTGATGACGTCACACTTTGTTTACATTTGTACTTTCCTATGGTGCTCAGTGGACCGTGGGCCCCACTGGCTCCATAGGAAAGTGCACATGTAAACAAATTGTGACGTCATCAGTACAGAGGCTTATTCCCTGCAATGGCTTGACCAATCGAATGTTAACAATCTAAAAATACTCTTTCATTTTTACAAGTTTGTAGGGAACTGACGATGCGAGTGAGGACTGGCGGCGATTTTTTTTCCTAAAACGACATCCGCATATGGTATACGCTGTGACGTTTTGGACTTTACTCCTCTTAAAAACATGAGAAAAAATACTAAACTGAGAGAAAAAGAAATGAATTCGAACGTAATGAAATTCGGACTTTATTTCTCTTTTAAACACTCCTCCAAATCCTCAGATTAGAAAAGAAAAGAAATTCGGGGAAGGATCTCCCGTAGTACAAAATCACGACCCTATCGACTGAGCTGTCTACCAGTATACCCGTTCCCCAATAGTTCCCCAAAATCCTTAGGGTTAGGGTTAGGGTTAGGGTTGGGGAACATATAGGTATTGGGGAACATAGGTATTGGGGAACATATGTATGCACGCAAGCTATCGAGCTGCTCAACAATTCAAAAATTCATGATAATATATACCTGCGTGCTATAATGAAATTATCGCAGAGGACGCTCAACAACCATAATGCATATTAGACCGTGGGCCAGAAATCCTATTTCGTCTAGAAAATGAAGTCCCTTCATAGCTTTTGGTGGCAACAAAAATATACTTGTTCTTTGTCAATTCGAGGGTACTGAATTCAATTCTGTCTGTTGCCAAGCTCTCAGGTGGCACGTTAAGCACAACTTCTTCGTCCGAAGTTTTATGCAAAAAAAACGTCCATTTTGGGGGCCTCTGACAATCGACGGCGAAAGCTATCCCCTTCGATTACCGTATGCAGATTATCACCCACTTAGAATAAGTAATGATAAATAACTGCAAACGAATGTAGGCTCATAGCCAAAGGGGTTTCATAATAACGGTAATTAATAATGCAAAAACAATGCTTTGACTGTATTATGTGCAATGTTTTATTTCAAACTGATTTTGAGGCATAACTGCATCATAAATCCATAAGGCATAGGCCCTAACTAACTTTTTCCATAAATGTAAATGACTGCATAAAATGAATGAATGTGAATGACTGAATAAAATGTATAATTAACCTAAACTATATTCTTTGATGCCAAAATGTCATATTCTTTTATTGTTTTGGTAATTAAGTAGAAAATTATGTATCACTCATAACGTTTTGGTCATAGTCAGTGTAGTGCCAAAACAGTGTTTTTCCAAAGTATATCACTGAAATTTTCTGTGATGCTGGAATAATACTGAATTATGTCATTTATCCAAATTAAACAAACTGTCTAAAACTGGAATTCCAAAGATTTCATAATTATGAAAAATTATTATTTAATTATGCAACTAAATGTTTTTTGTTTTTTGAAAGCTTTATTTTTCTACAATGCATGGCTCGAAGAACTCTTTGTAGATGACCGAATTACGTCAATACATGAGGTAATTTGATGCCAAAAGTCTCATACGTTTAAAGGTTTCATGGCAATTAAGTATGAATATTATGACCATATTATGCAATGTTTTATGCTTACAAATTATTTTTTTTTCAAGGCATCCTCGGATGACGAGCAGAGCATACTGTTCGAAACATCAGTCAGAACCACACAACTTACCAAGAGTCGCAAGAGATATCGTTCACATGGTGCTTAGTACCGCAAACCGCCAATTAACTGATCACTGAACTTCCTATAAATTACACGAATGTGAAGCTGACTACTGTCTATAGAACTGGAACTTTTATAATTCCATATCAGAAATGTGGTAATTAATTATGTAGGTACGCAACATAATGTTTTTTCAAGGCATCATTTAGTTTTTCTCTTAAATTTGGAGCTGGACGAACTATTTGTAGATGATTGGATTGCCATTAAGCCAATAAGCTCTTTGAAACTGGAACTTCGCTTTCAAATACAAATCAAAGAAATATTCTTCATGAAACGCATGATCACAGTTCACATTTAGTTCAAATCATAGTTCATACGTACTGTGCATGTACATTTTTTTTTTTATAGTTACACTTACAGGTGGTATGAGCCGACTCATTGAAAAATACATGGGGCCTTTACATGTAAACTGTGTCTAGTATAGATACTGTCATCATCACCGCTAGACAGGCATTCATAGAACTTTATCGTGCTGCCACCATTTCTGTCATGTTCCCTGTATGCAATAACAATACTGAATGATAATGTGTGTTTTTTTGTGCAAAAAGGAACCAGACTATTTTTCCTTTCAGCCTCGCTTTGGTTACATTGAATGGGAAAAAAATCTAACGGCTGCAACATGATAATGGTCTATTGTCTGAGAAGTGGTGTTCTGGCAATCAGTGCCATGACACAAGTCAGTGCAATTGCAATTCCCCAGCCAGACTGCAACAATTTCTTGAGGTGCATCGTCCCTTCTTACACTTGCAGGAAATATTCTGGAGGGAGCCATGTGCAATGATGTCCACCGTGGAATAAATTGTTTTCTACTTCCGTCTGCCAACCATGGCCAAAATGGACTTGGAGACACATTGCAGAATCTGTTGATTTAGGCTGTATTCCGTCTTGCCGCTTTGGTTTGTGGTATTAGAGGGCCAGCACTGGCCCGATCAGCTCTGCGGTACCGTCTTACCATTTTGGTTTGTTGTAAGTGGCCCAGTGCTGGCCCGATTCAGTCTCTGTACCGTCTTGCCGTTTTTGGTTTGTGGTAAGAGGGCAAGCACTGGCCCGATTCAGGCTATGTGCCGTCTTGCCGTTTTGGTTTGTCGTAAGAGGGCCAGCACTGGCCCGACTCAGGCTCTGTACCGTCTTGCCCTTATGGTTTGACGTAAGAGCGCCGGCACTTGCCCGCGTCAGCCTCTGCACCGTCTTGCCGTTTTGGTTTATCGTAAGAGAGCCAACACTGGCCCGATTCAGTTTTGTACCGTCTTGCCGTTATGGTTTGTGGTAAGAGGGCAAACACCATGGGCGTCGCCAGGATTTTTTCTAAAGGGGGGCAAAACACATTCCCCCCCCCCAAAAAATCCTGTACTTCTCAACATATTCTCAATTTATCAGTTTCAGAGGGGGGCAGGGACATTTTGCCCCCTCCCCCCCCCCATTAAATTTACACCACTATGACTTCGCGCCTCTTTTTCTTTCTTTTTTTTTCTTTTTTTTTCCCTTCCTTTTTTTTTTTTTTTTTTTTGCTTTTCCAGGAAGGGGGGGGGGGGGGGGGGGAGGGGGGCAAGCGCCCCCCTTGCCCCCCCCCCCCCCCCCCCCCTCGCGACGCCCATGGTAAGCACCGGCCCGATTCAGGATCTGTACCGTCTTGCCGTTAAGTCTGTGGTAAGAGACCCAGCGCTGGCCCGATTCAGCTCTGTACCGTCTTGCCGTTTTTGGTTTGTTGTAAGAGGCCCAGTGCTGGCCCGATTCAGTCTCTGTACCGTCTTGCCGTTTTTGGTTTGTGGTATTGGACCGGCACTGGCCGGACTCAGGCTCTGTACCGTCTTGCCGTTTTGGTTTGTGGTAAGCGGACCAGCACTGGCCCGATTCAGGCTATGTGGCGTCTTGCCGTTTTGGTTTGTCGTAAGAGGGCCAGCACTGGCCCGACTCAGGCTCTGTACCGTCTTGCCCTTATGGTTTGACGTAAGAGAGCCGGCACTGGCCCGCGTCAGCCTCTGCACCGTCTTGCCGTTTTGGTTTATCGTAAGAGAGCCAAAACTGGCCCGAGCAGTCTTTGTACCGTCTTGCCGTTATGGTTTGTGGTAAGAGGGCTAGCACTGGCCCGATTCTAGTTCAGGCTCTGTACGGTCTTGCCGTTATGGTTCGCCGTAAGAGAATCGGCACCGGCCCGATTCAGGCTCTGCAATGTGTTACCGTTATGGTTTGCCGTAATAGCGCCAGCACCGGACCAATACACTCAACACGGAACCGCATTGCCGCCATCAAGCCAGTTATGGCCCGCTTCTGGTTTTGTACCATTCAAACTGTAAGTTACTGCCAGAACAAGCCCATTACAAGCCGGCATCGGCCCAGTACCGTCATGTTTGCTGGGTGGACTTGGAGACACATCGCATAATCTGTTGAGATGAGAAAGAGAAAATCGAAAATCGATTTATAACAAAAACTTGTACTTTTTGGAACAAAAACTTGTACTTTTTGGAAAATGAATTTTTTTTTTAATGTTGAGTGTAGGACTTGTACTAGGATCAGTGCAAATGGAAGCCAGCGTTTTCCCTTGGAGCCACACGTTCACTCGGTTTAAAACATTAATTAATAATCTTGACGTAGGCACACATATATATACATCTGCATGTCCGAGGGAGTACCGGCACAACATCGGAACAGTTGAGGGACATATCAATGGTCTTATACAATTTGAAAAGTAAAAACTCACGTTGCAGCCCGTATCTATTTTGCATGCATCATTTTTTTATGTTTGTTTTTTTGGTAGGCAGTACCGTCTTGCAAAATGATGTTGCAACACGGCCAGAGCTTATTGTGCACTCGCACTTGTTTTTTTTTTTTTGAGGGGGGGGGGGAGGGGTTACAATAATTCAATGACATGTGATCAACGACCCACGAAACAGATGACGGGGAGTTGTCATGTGTAGGCAGCAAATATTTTGTATGCAACTGATTAAATTAATATAGTCAATGACCACAGTAAAAACGTCATACACGCGCGCGCACCACTGATTATAGCGCCCATTGGATAACCACCGCCGAAATCGCTGATTGCTGGAGGTTTCATCAAGGTCGATCCCTTGAGGGAATTTTACAATTTCATTTTTTCCCCCAAAAATTGAATTTTGTTCCCTAAATTGTGTTTAATAAACTCCTGATGATCGACCAAATGAATCTTTTATTGATAAAAGATATTACACTTTGATCCTGCCTAGCCTTTACCTTTGCCCTTTGAAAAAATATGGTCGAGTCCAAAGAAAGCCCGCATACCGGCCGCAGTACACGTACGTACGTACACATGTATACATGTAGCAATCGATATCAAGATGGCTGATTTCGAAGAAGATTCGCGGATTGAGTTGTGGCGGAAAAGTTTAAATTCTCATCCGATTTTTGACAACTTAAGACACAACGGAAAGTATGCACCTCATAGAACAGAACCAGAGAAACTGTTGGTGGTTCGGGAAGGCCAGTTATTCGCTTGGGACACTAGAGAAAGTCGCCTTTTGACGATGAATTTGAAAGATCTGCTCGACGCAGACGACGTCCAGTCGTGCAACAGAATGCAGGTTAACCAGTCGTGATATTTCAATTTTCATCTGACTGTAGTCGTGTTACGCCCCAAACTATGGCATCGCATGATCGGTCCCCACTACTATAGTTGGGATCGTGCAAACTATTAGTTGGGACTGTCCCAACTGTAGTTCTGCTGGGCTATACGGGCGTTTCGTGTTTTCTATTCGACAACATTAGTCTTAGTGGCCCAACCTTGTGACTTTTAAAGGATAACAGGAGGAGCGCGCCGCGCTGTACTCGCCCGACCATGTCCAAATGTTAAAAAAGGCGATTCGCAGAGTTCTAGTTTATACTCGGACTAACATCATGAACATCTTTGTTATTATTTAGTGAATTAGTTACATTCAAAGCATTTAAAACTCAAAAAACGGCAGTTGTCGAGCTGCCACAGTAGCCTGATGGGAGATGAGCTATGGATTGAAAGGTCCCTGGTTCGAATCCTGCTATGTCCATTTTTCCAATTACCATTTTTTTAATTGAAGGGGAAAAAGAGAACGAAAACCTAAGTGCCTTGCTTCGATTCTGTTAAATTACTGAGTGAATTACACATAGGTGGCTTCTCCTACCTACGTCAAAAAATATGTGCCCCATACACCATTCATCAGAAGCTGAATGGCATGCCATGCTCCATTCATGCACAATAATGATGAGAAAAAACAATAATCACATGTAGTGTGATGTCACAGGAGGGTGTTAATTTAAATGAACTACACAGTGAACTCCCTTTATGCCAGAACAAGTACTGTACTGAAGCGAATATCGTCTCGAAAGTGTGTCTACCCGGGATTTCAAAATGCTAGACGCGTTGTTATGTACATGTATGCATTATGCGGGCACGCTTAGGAAAGGTTATGAATATGCATTTTACAGCTCATGACCTCGTGTTTGTATGGCCGGCCGCGCCGCGCACGCGCCACCTAACAACACATGATCATGAACTGTACAATGCAAATTCATAACCATGCACATGGCCGCATAAATGCATACATAAACGACGGCCAAAACCAGTCTGCCATTTTGAAATCCCATGGAGGAACACTTTTGAGACGAGCTAAAGACTGATCATCGTGTTTTTTTGCCAGATGGATGAAGATTTTTAGATAAAGGAATGTGTTTCTGAACATGTATGAGTTCCTCTATGACTAGAACCCTAACTCGATCAAAATCGGTAGCAAAATCACTGCATCACTTTTCAGTGTGTTGGGCCAGGCAGCAACGCCAATCTGGCCGTACTACAGAGCTTGTGATAGTGTGCGGCCAGAGGCAGTCGGGCTGGCATGTCAGAGTTTCCGTAACCTACCTAGGCATAGCCCCATGTAGCCAATTTACTGGACTACCTCTGTAAGTGTAGGCCACACTTGCACCCTGTCACCCATACAAGCTACATGTACTTTTTTATTGGCAGTGACACTGACAATTTGCATTTAGCCGGCCCAAGCTTAATTTAAGTAGGCCCTAGCCTAGGCCTAAATGATATTTTTGGCAGCTGAACAGTCGCAGTCGCACTGAACAGTCGCAGTGACTATTTAGGAGACTATTTTTGGCGCCAACATTGTCATTGTGACTGCGTACTATTCACAAGATGGGAATCAGACCATTTTACAATTTTGGACTTTATTTCCCTTTAAAAGAATCCTTCGGAGACACAAATCATGTAAGCTTTGGAATTACATCTAAATGGAATCATTGCCCTTTTATTTAAAGGAGAAAATGTAAAACCTGAACATTTGTATTTTGTTGCAGAGGCTCCTATGCACTAACACACCAAGGTTTGACATTGAGCATATTGACCTGAGTGCAACAGGTCATCATGTTCTACTTTGGGGTGCCAAAGGTGCATCAGTGATGACACTTCCAAGACGACATGGACAGTATGGACAATTTGAGGCAGGAAAGGAACAAATCAACTGCAGGTACATGTACTGCATCTTACATAGATCACTTGCATAATCAATGATATGCTGTTCAGTTATTGGTCATTGAATGAATGTAGTGTAATTTTGTTTGTTAATTTTGACTGACAATCACAACTTACATTGGTGGCATTTAGAACAGCAATCTTGGCGGAGAGATTTATGATGTCAAGTGGTACGCTACGCTTGCTGCAAGCTGCCTGGTACCCAGGAAGTGACACTGATAGACACTTGGTTCTTCTTACTTCTGACAACACATTAAGGTAAACACTGTCTCTGTCCCTTCCATTATCCAGTTCACGCCGGGATAATTTTGACAAGAAAGGAACGAGGGGCGGGATTACTTATCATTCGACCTCAAGCCAGGTGGGTTGAAGCCACCCCCCTCGGGCAGCACATTTATATTTCTGGCCTCTCTCACTGCAAGTGGGTTGCTGACAAGGGCACTGCGTACACCCTCATCTTTTCCTTAAAAAAAAATGGTCAAAGCAGTAAGAAATTGCCTCGTATCGCCCAATAGAGCATCTGGAATCCAAAAAATTGGGGCCCCTTAAGCTGGCCCCGAACCCCACGCCTTAATTTTTTGGACCCACTTTTTGGGGAACAACAATTTCTTTGGTTCCCCAAATTGTGTTCTGGATCCGCCCTTGGTTGCTGACAGATATTTCCGGCCTTGCTCCCTGCATGTTCATCTGTTATCCGTTCCGAATACCCCAAAACTTGTTTGTTATTATTTGAATGCTCATCGCCCACAATTGTTGGGTGTGTCATCATGGGGAGCATACAGCCTTGCCATGATTCAAATCTGACTCTGACCATAATTTCACAATCTCACGGGGGAAAATGTAGGGATTACAAAGTACATGTAGTAAGTAAAGTGAATTTTGATTAAATGGTAGTGGAGCACATTACACATGTATCTACCAAGCATGCCAAGAAAACAACTGTCACCAGATAACTCTCACATTTTGTGTTGAGTGCCGCACATACATATAAATGTAAGTGTTAGTTTTTCTATTGTTTTAAGATCTGTCCTAAGATTTTAACAGTTCTTGTACATGTTAACTAAATATATGTCAGTGGGGAGTAATTGACAGTTATTCATATCTAATCAAATTTACAATAATTGTGCACAGGATCTATGACATGACTTCACCACACAAGCCAATCCAGTGTCACAGATTAGGGGAGTATTCCACCAGCTACTCACTGTCGGCCAACAGGTCAACGTTTGAGGTGGCTCTAGGAGATATAGCTGTGGCATTTGACTTTGGACCAGCAATGGAAGAACCTACAAGACCTGGAAGTAAGAATTCTCAGATTGTTACCATCCACCAACCTATTGTTTTAAAGCACTGTGTGCTCCATGCTGTCTGAGAGCTTGCTAGAACAACTGACAAGCTTCGTTGGGTGGGACTTGAACCCACAACCTTTTGTTTACTAGTGCAGATGACTTAACTATGGATGTGATTACTGAGCTTGCTAAGGAAAGCTAGCCAGTTTGAATCAAAATAGCTGACTGCTTATGATCAGTTGATCAAAACAAGACGTCTGAATAAAGTGCATATACTTTATTCCGACTTTGTGTGCTGGGGTTAGCAACATGCAGACCTGAAAGTAAGGCATTTGCACTATTGAGGTGAGTAACGATAGACTCAAAAGACAAACGACCTTTTGTTCTTGCTGCTTGATTTTGTTTTCTGTCCTTGTTTGATTCAGCAGGGTGGTCTAGACAAATCCAATGGGTATTGGGTTAACATTAATATGCTTGGGTTTTTGTATACACCAAGGACCTTATGCAGAGATCACACTGAATAGTAATATCACACTCAATAGTAATATCACACTCATTCATCTATTCTGTTTGTTTCATCATAGGAAGGCCCAGTGCTCCAGTCCCGTTCTTGTTCCCAATTTACATCTTAAAAGGCAATGGAGATGTCTTTTTACTCCTGACGAGTTTATCAGAACCAAGGTAGGAATGCGTGTTTGCAAATCACTTGAGTTCAGCTGGTTATGAAAGACGTATGTGACTGGATCATGAGAAATAAATCTCAAGGACACTTTGTACCATTTTTGTGTCTTTAAAGATGTTTAGTTAAAACTATCGTTAGAACAATAATTTCTCCAACCTCACAAACAATTTAACCCTAACTCCCTAGCATGATTTACTAGGAACCATACCCATCCTGGCCAATTCCAACACCATATGGGAAACTGCACACACATATTTCTGACTTTGATTCTGGAGGTGTGCCAACCCAGTGTAAAAGACTGTCAGTTTTATAGGGGTACTGTACCCATCCTAACAGATTCCAACAAAACATGCCATTGGGGTTTGATGGGTTGAGTTCTGTTAGGGTTGAAGATATAAACCCCAAAGGGTATATTGGCAAAATTGTTCTTCAGGAGTTTGCACATTTGTTTTAATAAAAATTGTTGTTTCAAATGGTGAATTAAGGTGTGTTTTCTAAAACAAATTGAAGTGATTATATGACTATTTTGAAAATTATAATAGTGTACATTGTCTCAGTATCACGTGTGTGATCCCATAAATAAATGCTGTGGCAATTATAGGTATGTCCATACAGATCTACAAGGGCCCCTGACCATGCATCCACCAGCAGAAGACAACTATGGCCTAGATGCCTGCAGTATAATGTGCCTTCATACTAGTCCTGTTGTACTAGTGGTGGCAACCTCTGGTGGTATACTACATCATTGCATTGTACTGAGTGGGGATGAAGATGATGATGAAGATGATCACGTAAGATGCTTAGTTGTATAGTTTGCTTGCAGTTCATAATATTATTGATGATATTCACATGGATATGTTTTATTCACCCACTTCCCATAGTGAATTTGAAGTTTTGAATGTAAAAAGAGTAAACTGTAGATTCTTGGTGACATCATGGAAAGATAAATATCTCTCTTGAAAATGATCACATTGTACCGATTGAAACATCAAGTATTTACCCACAGGTCCGTCTTGGACTACCCACCCTGCTTCTGCTTACCACGCACATTTAACCTTAACTCCCTCGGGGGTGTGTAAAATCGTGTTGAATTTGGAGGATTCAGGACTGTTAGGGCTATGTAATAAAAAGTGTTCAAAATGGTAACATGCAGAGATGAAACTTTTCCAATTTTAATCGGAAAACCAACTTTTTGACTTTTCCAACGAAATTTCCGATTTTCTTAAAATGTGTCCCACAAAATTTGATTTTGTAACGATTTTTTCACAAAATGTGAAAAGTCGATGAAAACGGCACGTAAAAATAATCGCGAGCGTAGTTATAATCTCTTTCACCAGTCGCAAATTGAGTGTTTCTCCGGTAGAAACACCTAGGCCAACATTGATCGGACCCTTTTCCGGCTGGAGAACAGGTTAAACATTGACCTATGACACGGAAAAATCACTGCGGCACACGGTACACATCGTGCATGGTGCGTGCATGCACACGTACGATGCTATAGCCGCTACAAAAATGTTACTGATGGTCAAACGCAAGGATAATCTCTCCGAAAAAGAAACGGGCGTTAAAGATAATTTCCAGTGGCAATGGTTGGAGGAAAAAGATAACAACAGGGACTATTTCTCGACTTACATTAGAAAACTGCATTTACCAGGGAGGTTTTTTAGATTTTACATCGTTCTTGTGGATATCGTTCTCGGTAAAATTATACATGAAGGGACTGCGGTCGGGCACACATTTCCATTTTGCTTAGGCGAAATTTGCGATTTTTTGCTAAGGCCAGTTTCATCTCTGAACATATGAAATGTATCCCTTCTCTCTGGCAAGCTTTTCACATTGCTATGAGTAATTTCTCACTTATCTAGTTGCCAGAAGCTGTTGAATGACTAGATAGTGTTTACATACTTGTTTGCAGTCTGTAACATCAGCATCCCTGTCAGACATTGGTAGTGTTGGAGGCAAGTCTGATGCATCTCTCTATGTGTATGAGAGTGTTGAGTTATCACTCACTGTATTATCAGATGAATATCCTGAGGATACTGCCTACCCAATTCTTCTACTCAAAGGTCAGTGTGTTTACTGCTATCGTTTTGTGTTTTTACTTTTGTTTTTGTGTCGCCCTAAGATAATTTTGGGGGACAGTTACAAGTCCTAAATTCTGTATTCAGCAGATGACCATATCCTCAAACAAAGGGAATGGTACCCCACAAGTGAAATCTTTAGAAATAGGGATAAAAGGACAACAATGCTTCTTCCAACTTCCATCAACTGGAACGTCCATATCCAGGTGTAAATATCTTTAACAAATTACTCTCATTTTCCCAAATATTGAATGTTGCTGAGAATTAAGGTTCAGGGGTGCTGATGTGTTGTGTTGTAGTCTAGGGGCTAGACGTTGTTATGGTTTGATACGCGATAATCCACTGCCGCGAGAGGGCACTATCACGACCAACCATTATCACCCACGAACCCGTCAGAACAACGTCTAGGACATTTCCTAAAATCTCCCCCGGAAAAATGGGGGAAACTAGTGTGCGTGCGCGACTTCTGCAGGCAATTACGGTCCATTTTCAGTCTCACCCATATTATACACACAACAAAAGAGTTGACCAGTGAAGTTGCACAAAATTCTTGCTGCATCTTTTATACTACTGGAGGAAATTTGAGAGTATGCTTCGGAACTGCCATGAATTTTTTGAATTGCGTGCTGCATATATTAGGCCAAACAGGTGCGCTCGCATTACACAACTAATAGCAAATGTCCTAGACGTTGTTTTGACGGGTTCGTGGGTAATATTGGTTGGTCATGATAGCGCCCTCTCGCGGCAGTGGATTACCATTGAGGTTATAGTGTCAAAAGGTCATCCGGGGGTCAATTGAGGTCATCATGCTGTCATTTTGAAGGAGGAAAAAAAATGCCATTTCCAAAGATGATCCAAGTGACACATTTTTGGAAAATTTCTGTTAGTAGTTGGTTTGTAATTTGACGAATCCATGAATGGGTGCCGAATCCATGAACGCGTGCCCTTTTTTTTTAACCATCGATGTCATATTTTGAACTGCCATGCTTGTAAGTATAAAGATGTATCATAAAAACAAATTTTCTACAATGCCACTGAACAAATTCATACGTGTCATCAACTAAAGATCACTATTTACAAATTTGGATTGCTTTTCTTATCCTGGCAGATCCTTCCTCACCGTGTGAGTACTACTGTTCCCATAGTGCTGGTGTACACTGTGTCACATTGTCCTGGCTACAGAAACTCATACAGTACTGTTCCTCAGGTGAATGAACTCTTCAGCTTACTGTTCTATGTTGATCAATGTAGGGTTCACATTTAGGTTGACTATTCACCGGATGAAAGGATTTGTTACATGAAAAAAATAAAAAATCTCAGATGCATTTTAGCAAGTCTCGTGTCAGATAATAAGAACAAACCATTATCGGATTGATTTAAAAAAGATGTTGACTTGTAAAGTAATGTACATGAACATTTTCACTCATTGCTATCAACTGTCAGTCAAGGCATGGTACCTTCAGTTGACAAAACTGCCACAGCCTGTCCATTGTACCAATATGAGCCCCACTTACAAAACTGTTAAAACCTGTCACTTGATAGATTTTGACACTTTGAGAGGGAGGGTCAAAGAGGTTTATTATTCATGAATACGATTAACAGGTATAGTCCCGCAGCAACTCGTTTTGATGTTCTAATTTGCTGCCGAACCTGAAGCGAACCAATATTCAGATAAAAGTTTGGAACCGAACCCAAACTGAACCTGAGGGCTCACTTGCAGCACTAGTTTAAAGCTACATGGAAAGTCATGGAAAGCTCATGGAATCCTGCATAACCCATATGTGATGAATGATGCGTAATATTTGGCTATATGACAATCTTCCAGTTTGCATTCCAGTTCACTTTACTTCCTCTATTCGTGTATGCTCTATACTTGCTGCATGCCGAATGCACCATTGTGATGTATTTTGGTCTGATGTCAAACTGGATGGCTGAAAGGGAGTGGTGTCCCTTGCCTCACTGTGATGACTAGCTGATGTATTGTACATGGGCTTCTAAAATACCAACAACATAAGAATATATTGGTCATCCTAAACCCTAAGTTTTTTCCCCTGGAAAAGTCATGGAGTTCCGTTGTAAGATTTCAGTTGGAACCCTGAATAAATAGTGATCACTAAATCAGTCACCAGTCTATTTTTGTTTTTAACTAGTATATATGTCACTGGACCTGCTCCATTGTAAAAGGTATTTTTAGCCCAATTAATTGTGTTTCTTGTTTTCAAGCTGGATATTCAATTAGTTGGAAATAATGGATCACACAATGCACATGACCCAATAAAATACTATCATGCCTAGGAGCTTTAACAAAGATTAACATGATTCTTTTTTTTTGGCTTTTATACTTATAGAGCGTGAAGGGACTGAAGATGGTACAGTCATGGATGTCATCAATCAAGACCAGCCCTGCATAGTAGCACACATGATATGCACCAAGCCATCAGAATCATGGTAAGCATAAACACAAAGTGACAGAATTGTGACTTACCCCAACAAATTATCACAGCTATTTTGGAGTTTTCAAAACGTTTTTTTTTTACAAATCTTTACTATGGAAATCAAACCAGTCCACATTTTACCTTTATGTTAAGATGTCGGACTGAGTGATACATGAACATCTAAATGAAGAATTGAGCATGCCTCTCATATTGTATATGAAAACTGAGTGGTGAAAACATGTCCTTTGGGCTCCTGTCGTGGGATTTGATCATAGTCTTACATACTATTTACAAATTATGCTGAGCACGTTCCGAGTGCAGTTTCGGGGGAAAAGGAATGCTGATGTGGGACTTGAACCTACCCCCTCTGGCTAACATTCACTGGAGCGGTTGTCTCTGTACTTGACTTTTGTGCTTACCATGGTTCTTTGTTTGATTGGGATGTTATTTGATGATATAACTGTCTACTTCTTTAAACTTGCTCTTTGGTCAGTATCATGGTGGGGTATGAATTGGGTGTGTACAATTGCCCCCTCCCTGCCCCTCCATAAAAGAAACCCTTTTTTTAAAAAGCTTTCTTTTTGTCAAATAACTTAGCTATTACCTTCATAAGAGCCAGCGCCAATTAGAAGATGACATTTCTCCTTCAATTAAAACTTTAAAAATGCCATGTATATTATAAAAAGATAGAAACACATTGTTAAAAGAATTAAGAACAAGTAACCAAAACATGTAGCAGTTGTGTGAATGAGTTCAAATGATGTGCACGAGTTAGTCCAATGTCTTGAGCCTAAGTCCTCCCCCTCTTGAAATCCTGTGAATGGGTTGGCTCTGCAGTTTTCTTGATTTCCTGAGAGAAACTGATTTGCTGCAAATTGCTAAGATACCGAAGCAACCTGAAATACATGTAGATATACATGTATATTAACATATTAAATGATTAGGGGACCTGATATGTTGATCCTTGCAGAATCTGTCTGAAAGAAACAATAGAGTGATTAACCCCAAGTCCCAAGCATGATTTACTATGAACCATACCCATCCTGGCAAATTCCAACACCATATGGGAAACTGCACACACGTATTTCTGACTTTGTTTCTGGAGGTGTGCCAACCCAATAAGACTGTCAGTTTAGGGGTACTGTACCCATCCTGACAGATTCCAGCAAAACATGCCATTGGGGTTTGATGAGTTGAGTTCTGTTAGGATTAATGAAATGATAGTCTGAAAGGATTTTGTATGTCCTTGATATTGGTGTTTCTTTTCTGAATCATTCAGCCCACCTGCTCCCATCCTGGGTTTGACTATAGTGACTGATCATCTACTGGGCAAGGCTCTACTGTGTCGTACATCCACCAATGACTGCATTGTCACTCCTCTCAAGTAGGTGCTCCAAACCTGTCCCTTCAATCATCTTAGATTAATTTGTGTTTGAGATGTAACAGGCATGCAACTTTTCCTTGGATCCACTGATTTCCTCATTTTTTACTTCTCATGAATGCCATTACAAATTGGAAAATACTGTACAAAGTCTTGTGTGCTTTGGAGTTTCCTCGTTTTTTTCTTCTAAATTCCCAGTTGCATGCCTGATGTAAAGATTAACATTATATATGACACGATGATGAAATGTGATTTTTTCTTTTAACCCAAGCTCACAATTTGCAATTGATTGAACTTGTTTCTGACAGAAACACTGAGGTGCCATCAGCTCCACCCCTGATATCTGAAGGAGGTTCTCAAAAGATGGAGTCACCGCTCAGAAATCTCAGCTCAGAACCATTCCAGAGTCATATCAGGAAAATACTGCAGAGAAATGTGTCCAACCCTATTCTAAAGTAAGACTTGATTATAAACGCTAGTTTTGATTGAGTGTAATTGGATTAGCTGGAGTTGGGTGAGTGCCTAGGCTGGGCTGTGTTGCACTGGGCTGGGTTTGGCTGTGCTGGCCTGAGCTGTGCTGGATATCTATTTGCTGTGCTAAGCTGGGTTGGGCTTGGCTGGGTTGGGCTGTGCTGTGCTGGGCTGTGCTGTGCTGGCCTGAGCTGTACTTGTTATAGTGATGTTCTACTGGGTTTGTTATAGTGACATTCTACTGGGTTTGTTATAGTGACATTCTACTGGGTTTGTTATAGTGACATTTTACTAGGTTTGTTATAGTGACACTCTACTGGGTTTGTTATAGTGACATTCTACTGGGTTTGTTATAGTGACATTCCACTAGGTTTGTTGTGACATTCTACTAGGTTTGTTATAGTGACGTTCTACTAGGTTTGTTATAGTGACATTCTACTGGGTTTGTTATAGTGACATTCTACCGAGTTTGTTATAGTGACATTCTACTGGGTTTGTTATAGTGACATTCTACTGGGTTTGTTATAGTGACATTCTACTAGGTTTGTTGTGACATTCTACTGGGTTTGTTATAGTGACGTTCTACTAGGTTTGTTATAGTGACATTCTACTGGGTTTGTTATAGTGACATTCTACCGTGTTTGTTATAGTGACATTCTACTGGGTTTGTTATAGTGACACTCTACTGGGTTTGTTATAGTGACACTACTGGGTTTGTTATAGTGACATTCTACTGGGTTTGTTATAGTGACATTCTACTGGGTTTGTTGTGACATTCTACTAGGTTTGTTATAGTGACGTTCTACTAGGTTTGTTATAGTGACATTCTACTGGGTTTGTTAAAGTGACATTCTACTGGGTTTGTTAAAGTGACATTCTACTGGGTTTGTTATAGTGACATTCTACTGGGTTTGTTATAGTGACATTCTACTGGGTTTGTTATAGTGACACTCTACTGGGTTTGTTATAGTGACACTCTACTGGGTTTGTTATAGTGACATTCTACTGGGTTTTATTATAGTGACATTCTACTGGGTTTTATTATAGTGACATTCTACTGGGTTTGTTATAGTGACATTCTACTGGGTTTGTTATAGTGACACTCTACTGGGTTTGTTATAGTGACATTCTACTGGGTTTGTTGTGACATTCTACTAGGTTTGTTATAGTGACATTCTACTGGGTTTGTTAAAGTGACATTCTACTGGGTTTGTTAAAGTGACATTCTACTGGGTTTGTTATAGTGACATTCTACTGGGTTTGTTATAGTGACATTCTACTGGGTTTGTTATAGTGACACTCTACTGGGTTTGTTATAGTGACACTCTACTGGGTTTGTTATAGTGACATTCTACTGGGTTTGTTATAGTGACATTCTACTGGGTTTGTTATAGTGACATTCTACTGGGTTTGTTATAGTGACACTCTACTGGGTTTGTTATAGTGACATTCTACTGGGTTTGTTGTGACATTCTTCTGGGTTTGTTATAGTGACACTCTACTGGGTTTGTTATAGTGACATTCTACTGGGTTTGTTATAGTGACATTCTACTGGGTTTGTTGTGACATTCTACTGGGTTTGTTATAGTGACACTCTACTGGGTTTGTTATAGTGACATTCTACTGGGTTTGTTATAGTGACATTCTACTGGGTTTGTTATAGTGACTACTGGGTTTGTTATAGTGACACTCTACTGGGTTTGTTATAGTGACATTCTACTGGGTTTGTTGTGACATTCTACTGGGTTTGTTGTGACATTCTACTAGGTCTGTTGTAGTGACATTCTACTGGGTTTGTTATAGTGACGTTCCACTGGGTTTGTTATAGTGACATTCTACTGTATTTCTTGTCTTATTTCTCTCTGCAGAGGCAGTTCCAAGACTAGTCTGAGCCCCAAGGAGAGTTTGGAGCTGATTTGTAGTGCCACTAAGGTACTGCGAGAGGAATATATCATCAAGCAGGACTTGGCAAGAGATGAAATAGAGAAACGGTCAGTAAACCACTCAGAGATATAAGAAGCTAGACTCCCTGTGTTATACATGTATTTCATCAGACTTTTGTATCTCTATACAGATGACATATATACATACAAGTGCATAACAGTATGTATTTGTGGCTTCCTGGGGGGGGGGGGGGCTGTGGTCCAATGGTTACGGTGTTCGACTGGTGTGCCGTGGTACACTGGTTCGATCCTGACAGGAAACATGGTCCTTGTGCTCTTGAGCAAGGCACTTTACCATTATTGCTTTGTCCTTCGGATGGGACGTAAAGCCGTAGGTCCCGTGTGTTGTGTGATGCACGTTAAAGAACCCAGTAACACTTATCGCTAAGAGAAGGGGTTTACCCCAGTGTTTCTGACAGTGGCTGCAATATGCGCCACAGCACCTTGTAAACCCTTTTTAAAAGGTGCTACAGAATGGGTCTCACATTTCTCATAAATTAATTTACCCGTCTTTAAAAAATAGACATAATTACCAGCGTCTTGCGTACCTATTTGTTGATAGATACGTGGGCTGTGTAAGACTGCAGTATTATCATATTATATTATCAGAATGAGTCTAGTATGAGACAACTTGTGTTCAAACTTTTTATCCCAAAGAAAAATACGTCGAATATTAAAATATCTTCTGAACAATCAGCTATAATGGACATCCTCTTTGGCTCACAAATTCTATGTGCAATTGAACCAAACATTCCAAATTTTTGGAAACCACATTAAATATTGTCAATTTATGCTTGCCCAAAATGCTTCTCAACTACTTTTGAACGTCAAGAACACTTAAGCAAATTACGGCCATTTGTATTTCTTATGTTATGATGATTGAGAGTTTCTCAAGCTCTACCAAACCAATGTTGTCATGGTTGTAGTTGGTGATTGTTCCAATCATCACTATAATGATAATGGCTGCTATGGGCCTACTATGATAAGAGGCTAATGACATACATTCAACATTCATAAATACCTAAGACAGTTTACGCATTCCTATTGGTCGAGAGCCCGTCACGTGGCCGGTCTTAAACGGATGATAAAGACATGGCTAGCTGGTCTTAAACACTTTTCCAGTGTCACATGAAATTTGGACTCCCATAAAATCTGGTGCCTTTTAAGGTTTCATTGGTTGAACGTTCACATTCCTCTCGTATGCATGCGCAATACTACCACTGAATCAGTATTTCATGGTCCGAAATTCACACTACACCAGCCCAGCTGCGTTTTGCGCGACATCGCGCAGTACGCGCGACGCACATACCAATGTCCTTATAAGGTAACGAGTTGTAGAGGGGCATTCCATATTATAGTCAGAGGGGTGTTTCGTAAAACATGACGTAAAATTGTTGAACAAAATGGTTGGCAACGTCGAGTTTTGACTTGTTTTGATTTTTGGAGCGAAAAAGATTTGTTCTTTTTACCGTAAAAGTATTTATGAATGGGAATAAATATGTGTTTGGTCGGTATTAAACACTCTGTTTAAGACCGGTGGGAGTCTGGATGGGTGATAATTACCCTCGGCTTCGTCTCAGGTAATTATCACCCATCCAGACTCCCACCGGTCTTAAACAGAGTGTTATAATACCTCCCAAACACACATTTATTCCCTTATTAAATCTTTAAACAGAGTGAAGATTCTTCAACAGCAGAAGGAGCAACAGAAAGCTGATCTTCAAGATGGCAACAAACTGAAGATTGATATACAGAACCAAGCTGAGGAGATTGCATCTAGATACAGTGATGCACAAGATAAACAAGAGCAACTCATGGATAGGTAAGATCACAATCCTTAAACTCCGTGTGAACAAACTTACAAACCAATCCCATCATGGTTCTTTGTCTCTAGTATGCAGCTTCCTGTTTTAGCTCACCAGAGGAAGAAATTCCCATATCCTGCCAGACATTATTATCAGGGACTGATCAAGATTTTAGGGAAGGATGGCAGGAAGCGTTAAGATTGTAAGTGCTGAATGGGTGTCCAGAGCATGTCCCTGCTTTGGGGGGGGGGGGGGGGGGGCCTTGCTTGCCTATACAATTGTAAAATGTAACCCCCTCTAACCTCTGTCCTGCAGATCAAGTCAATTCTATGTTAACTTCTGTCTTGTACACACTGGGATATTCTGTTTCCTTTGTCTTTACAGGGTTGGGGCTGTACTTCATGCATTGCAAAGCCAACTACCGGTGCTGTCTGAGGCTGAGCAAAGTCTACAAAGAGAAATGACTGATTTGGAACAGAAGCTGGAAAAGCTCAAAGATTCATTCGCACAGGTACATTGACTGAATTTGTATCTCACTGTGGAAATTTGTTTTTAAACATGCCCGAGATCATTTTTTTTGATGTTGACATACGCTCCTGAGACTGAAGCTTATGGGGAGTACAGGCGACTCTCGTTAGTACAAACACTGTTAATACAAATTCTGGTTATAGCAAACATAAAGCTGTGGTCGCGACTGTGCACAATGAATGGGACTGATGCTCCTCTTAATACAAAATTCTGATATAACAACATTTTGGCTAGGTCCGTCTGAGTTATATTAACAAGAGTCGACTGTATCTGTGGGGCAGTCTGTGCTGAATTGGATTGATTCAAATATTTTACTGGTTTTATACTGTCTATTGGGCATCCATCATCAGTATCCTGGGCCTCACATTGTTGATCCAGGCAATCAGTTTTTCAAACTGCTATTGACATGTTGATCTCCAAGGCACAGAAGACTAGCCAGAATTCTGTGTTTCTGTTTTTAATTAACCTATCGCGGTAGAATCACGTCAATGCAGCTTGTGAAATATTGTCCAATTACATGATATACAAATGGACGCGGAACGCACAAAATCTGAGACGAACAAAACATAACGTACAAAATGCCATAGGGTTGTCTAAGGAACGTAGCCAACTCGCAAACAGCGATAAGTCAATTGTCTAGGGGCTGGTAAAAATAATGAACTCTTCTCTATCAATTTGAACTATTTTAGGAGCAATTTGTATGCCTTTTTCTTTGTTAAATGCATCATATATTTGTGTGAATCGTTGTCTTTTAGAAGATGCTGAATATATTTATGCATGAATTTTTATCAAATGAACTGTTAGCGGATACCAAAGTTTTAAGTCTGTACAGAGATAATGAATAGATGAAAATAAGTTAGCATTGACACCGAGGGCCTAATAGCTCTCATTTGTGTTGAGGATTAAAAAAGGGCCCCCATTGTCATATCATGGCTTAGCATTGAGAGCAAAAGAATTTGACACTTGGCTATAAATAAAAAAAGTGAATATGTTTGAGTGGTTATGTTTGCTACTTTCTCTGTGGTCAGGTTAAAGTCAAAGATGAGTATCGTAAGAAGAAGATTCAAGAGCAGAGCCAGAAGTCTCAGAGCCCTTCCCTCAGCCAAGGACAGAACAGACACATCAAGACACTCATCAAAGAAGAGTAAGGAACCATACCAAAAATATTCCCAGACTTGTTGAGTTGAAGTCTTTCCTGTAAAGATATACAGTGGTGATTATTGCATGCTAAAATGTTCAATCCTGACCCCGCTGAATTAAAAAAAAATCATACAACAGGTATTTCCAAAGTCCAGATTTTTTTCAACCCCCCCCCCAAAAAAATAATCCCCTTACAAGTTCTGAGAAACTACAAAGATAATAGATGAAGATCAGGTGCTATTGTCAAGTAATATGTATTCCTGTTGTGTTTTGTATCAGGGTTCGACTTAAGCCGTAGCCCGCAAGCCAAATGCTTGTCAAAACAGCGGCGGGCTAGTCAAACTATTCCTTAAGTAGCCCGGCTGGCGAGTCAAAAATTATTGGGCTACGGCAAAGATGAAAGGACAGGAAGAAATACATCCTTCAATTCAGAAAGCAAACCTGTATCAATTTGCATATAATTTTATGAACTGTTTAGGGTTAAATTAGGAGATCTGTTTATTAAAAACACTGACAAGATTGCCTCAGGATACACGTTTTACATGTATGCACATTGTTGTTTATGAGACACTCTTATAAAAAAAACAAACTTGCAGGCTAGTGAAAATGCTTGCGGGCTAGTTGAGAGTCTGTTTCAGTAGCCCGGCTGGCTAGTGAAATAAAAAATTAAGGTCGAACCCTGTTTGTACAAATTCTTTGTTACTTATCATTTTTTCTTTTTCTATATTTCTCTACAGAAATGATGCCATTGCTTCATTAGTCAAAGAAATCAAGAATCTCACTGTTGCTGTGGGACATTGAGTCGTGGAATGACCAGGAGCGTCCTTTGAGTAATCATCATCAGCCCTCCCCCCTCAGGATTGTATATGGACATGGACATTGAACATACAGATCATTGGCATGAATTATTGTGATGCTGTAGGACAGTGAATTGATACTTTCAACATCTTTTTTTGAATAATCAACTTCAGCCATTCTTGAACCTGAAGAGCCTCACATATGATCTTTATTTCCCAAAATAACCTTGTTAAATGGGAGATATGTGATAAACTACTGTATGGGTATTGTTGTATATCCATTTGTATCCCAGATAGTGGTGGTGGGAAGGGGGGGGGGGGGGGGGGGGTGGGTGTGCAACAACCGGCGCGCCCCCCTCCCCCCTCAGTTCCCCCCCCCCAGTTTTTTTCCCAACACTTTATCAACAAACAGATTAATTATGTTTATTTTCTTCGCTGTTAAGATTCATAAAATGTGGACACATTTTGGGCCAATGAAAGCATTATAAACATCGGTACTTTGGTGGACAAAACACGCCACACATGCATTTATATAGCCTTAGATAGTGTGCAGTCAATGTCTTTGTACATTTGTTACACCAGTCTGCGGTTTGATACATTTCTCATTCATAAAAACGACTTCACTTTTGAGTTGCTCTAGTGGCTTATTTCCGGACCATTGACAATGGGCATGCGCGCGTATACACAAGCTGAAGATGTTATTTTGACTGCCCCCCCCAAAAAAATATTTCCTTGCCCCCCCCCCCCCCCCAATTCCCCCCCCCCCCCCCCAATTTTAGAGTCTGGTGCCGCCATTGATCCCAGAACCACTCCGTTTAGTTTGATGAAAGTTGATAATGTAGAAACGTTTGTTTCTATGCCAAGGGGTTCAGCATCTTGGTTCTTTGCATGCAGGACAGAGAGAGAAGTAAAAGAGACACATGAAATGAAAAAGATGTAACTTTGCTTAAAATGACGACTGTTCATGTCTGTCATGTACCATCCATAATATAAAAGAATTAATTTTAAGGGTTGAGATTGAATTATTGTAATTATATACATAATTTGTTTTGTTTTTAAGTATCACATGCTACAGGCAATGAGATTTTCATTTTTGGTTTCAAAATTGTTTCTAGTTTTGGGGTTTTTGGTCAAAGACAAAGTGTGAAGAAAATATATATTATAAAAAAAGATAAAAGTGTTTGTGTTTGTTATTTTAAAGGGAATATACATCATTTGCTTTTGCTGTAATTTTCAGAAATGGTTGGAATTGGGGGGTTGGAAATATAAAGCAAATATAGTTACACTGACTTTTTGGAGGTTTTGGGTTCGAAAATGCTATAAAAACCAAGAAAAACGATCATTTTCCTGTAGTCTGGTTCCCTGACTCCATATTAGAAGAAACAGAGCAGTTTACATACATTGGGGAATTGTAAGGTTAGGGAACCAGTCTAGCTGGCTCGTACCCGTTCATAGGTTTGTAATCGATTGTAAACAAGTGCGATGGTCAATTGGGGCCAGTATTTGAAAAAAAAGCCAGTTGTTTCCAACGCTGATCGGCCGATCAGCGTTGGAAATTGATACAAAAATACCACTTTTCTTGAAAATGACAGTATACCAGGTGCCATAATTTTACAGGATGCTTTAGACTGTCATTTACCAACATCCTATTAAGGTATTTCGCAAAAACTTGGTAGTTTTATTTTTCGATGTTTGCAAATGTTGTATATTCCCTTTAAGGTGGGATGTTCATGAGGAAATAATGGTGGTTGTATAGCCGGGAGCCGGGGCTTACATTTGTGATCGAGGTACAAACCACTGGGGCCAGGGTTCCAGTAATAGGGTCAGCACTAGATTCAGTAACTGGGGCACTGGAACTTTTTTTGAATTTGGACTTGGGTCAGTGGTACCATAGACATACTCTAGAACTAGTACCTAAGTCAAATTTTGAAAAAAAGTAGTTCTAGCGCCCGAAGTACTGGGTCTAGGTCAGCACATATATGCCACATATATGCCCTCCATTGTTGCCGAAAAGATGGTCTATATATTGCCCCTCTCATAGGCGTAGCCAGCGGGGGGTAAATGAAAATCTCATTGCCCCCCCCAATATTTTCTAAAGACTGCCCTTTTCCATTCAAATGCCCATTTTTCACCAGCGCTCAACCCCCCCCCCAATATTTGGTAAAGAGCGCCCTTTTTGTTAACAAGTGCCCTTTTTTTCTGAACAAGTGCCCTGTTTAAAAAGTTGTGCCCTTTTTTATCCCATCCGCCGTTCCGGGTGCCTTTTTGTGAATTTCGTGCATGTATCGCCCTGAAAAGCACCATAAATTGTCTATTAGTGTGCACAATCGTCAGATTTGAACAACGCCCCCGTCAAAGATGGTACCAGCCCCCCCACACCCCTTTGATTTCACAGAGGCCAAGTGTCCGGGGGGAAAAAACGTGTCTTCATTTTCAGCACGGATGTGCAAGTGCCCTTTTTAAAGAAATTTTTACCCCCCCCCAATAAAAAAAATGACCGTGCTACGCCACTGCCTCTTTGGAGCGGAGCTGCGTGTTCCTGATCTAACATTTAATAACGTCAAATATACTGCATGAAACAAGCAGTTAGTTTCACATGTAAAATGCTGCTGCACGAGTTTACGAATTGCCACCAGAGGGCGCTGTCTTTTACATTCAAGATGGCAGCGCCCATGCGGCGATTTGCTAGTTTTATTCACCACATCAATCGAAGTAATTCTCTGTTGATGAGTGGACGTTCAAGAGTCATATGTCAAAGATGCAGATATTTGAGTTCTTTAGGTAGGAATTATGCATTTCTCTGTGAATGTGGTTTTACCTTTCATTGTAAATTTCAATCGAAGTGATCGCGGGTTAAGCCCCCATGCCCTACTGCCGGCACCGCCACACACGCGTACACACACGCCCACACTACTCACTAGACTAGCCCTAGTCTATGGCCCGCACCATGGACTCTACATGCTGGATGTAGAGTCTACTCAGTACGGGCCATAGACTAGGGCTACCACTAGAGTATCATCACTGATCATCAAAGACTATCAATATGAGAAAATGGTCGATCTATTCAGCTCGCCAAAATACTGTTGTGCGATGATGAAAAGCATACAATCCCCTTTTCATGGCGACATCTTACTGGTAATATGTCATCGTCCTTAGGCCAAGTAAAAAAAAACCCACGACATCTTACTGGTAATATGTCCTCGTCCTTAGGCCAAGTAAAATAAAAAACCACCAGTTGATCGTCCAGGTTTCTTCAAGAAAAGGAGGATGAGGGGCATTTCATTTTTTCCCCAAGATGGCCGCTATGTTTTAAAATTAAAAATGGCCTCCAACTTTTCAGTTCATTAATGACTTCCAGCTTTTTATTAGCTATCTTTCTAGAAAGTAGAGTCAAAACATTCATGTTAAACAATGTTCTACATATTTTACTCAATTTATGCATGTTTTAAGCATGAAAAAAATTGCCTTTTGAGGTGAAAAAAAAAAAAAAATTAAAACTACTAGATGCGGCTTAAAAGAAAAGGATATGGGTGGGGACAATCAAGTGGTATTTTTTGTTTACTTGGCCTTACATATTTTATCACAGGATTACGACAATGTAAAAATAGGATGTCGACATCTTCACTCCTCAGCTACAAAAATAGTGTATCTAGGGAAAACAACATCTCAAGTGTAGGATGGCGACAATCTGAGAAAATTCATCACGGGATGGCGACATCCTGAAAGTAGGATTGCTTTCTCTATTCACTCCACTAAACAGAATTCGAAGGTATCTCGGGATGTCAACATCCTACTTTTCAGGATGTCATCATCCCGTGATTTAATTGTTTCACAATGTCGGGATCCTATTTTCAACATTGTATCACCCATGATAGATCTATCTGAGGATGTTGGCATCTCTCTTAAAACATGTCGTCATCCCGTGATAAATTATCTTAGGATGTCGACATTTTATGTGCAAGATGTTGTCATCCTGTGATAAATTGTGTCAGGATCTCAACATCTAGGATGGCACCTCTGGAGCTCCGTAAATGTTAGAAGTTCTATTTTTTGGTGTTTTCACTAAACCCCCCTTGATATCACTCCCCCCCCCTCGAAAGTTAGATCCTCCCCTGAAGACTGCTGCTCTGGTGCTCAACATAAGTTGACTCAACACAAACAATTAATGATGAATTGGTCAATGACAATGACTGTGACAATAACACTGACGTTGTATTGTTTAACTAAGTATGTTGTGAATAGCTTCAATGATAACAGTGAAACAGCAGTCTACATACCAAATTCAGGAAACACAACTTTTCAGGTTTTTTGTGTGCATGGATTGGTGTGTGACTCACAATACGGAGGAAGTCCAGTATTTGAGCCACATTTTTGGGGTCACTCCATACTGTGCTCCATTTGCTTCCAAAATTGTTAGCTTCCTCATTCTTTCTCTTTCAGGAAAGTCGGAGTGTTAGCCTTCAATGTGTTTATTTCATTGCTCTCATTCATTTTTGCATTTTTACAAAATCTTACTCCCAATATTATAATTTTTGTTTGACCATGCTTGGGTGACTAAGCAATGAGCCGGCACCAAGGGTGGTCTTCTACCGGTATGTAGTGAGCCGTATTCCTAGGGCTGTGGGTGATGCTAGGAGAAATAAAATACCGGTAGTATATGTAGGCCTCCATATCATCTGCAAGAGTTGCACACATCCAATGTACGTTGTCATTAATTTCATATATTGATAATTGTTTTGTAGAACACCATGATTATGATCTAGCAGTTATTGGAGGTGGATCAGGGGGACTGGCTTGTGCCAAAGAAGGTGAGTGTACCGCAATGATGTCTCATTTCTATACCTGTACACCTTGATGCTGTGACTGGGAATGCCATATTAATATCATCAGACCGTGCCATCTGTAGCACCATGCTGACAGGCACCGGACAGGCAAATCAGATAGCCATACATCTTTCTTTTATTATTTTAACCTTACTAAAACCCTCTCGCTGTATGAACAGTCACAGACAGTCAAACAAATCCTCTTCCTTGCCATGCCTTTTACACTGTCTAGTTGTCAACAGTCAGATCATACTTCAAGCAAGCACTGTGACTATTCAAATTCAGTCAACTTACAAAAGCAGGCAAGTGGTAGGCACAGCTGACTTGTCAATTGCCTAGATTCAAAGCATAGCTGTATCAAGTTACATGAACTGTCACAGTTAGTCAATCCTGCAGGAAGCTCTTAACTGTTGAACACAGTCACATGTTTGATTGTGACTGAAGTTTGCACAGAATGTATGTTTGCATAGGATGGTTAAACAGTAAATTTCAACTGTTTTGAACCATCCATATTTCAAGATACATTTACATTAGTAAAGTTTGCTTATCAAGTTGGCATTATGTGACCACAACATCATGTATTTTGTGATTAGTTATTAAAGACTATGAATATTTATTGTGTGTATTGTAAAACTGACCACAATGGATGTAACAATTAGCTTGATTTAAAAACAAGTACTGTTATTTTTTTTTAGCTGCTTCTTACAACAAAAAGATTGTTGTTTTGGATTATGTGGAACCAACGCCAAATGGTAACGTTGAAACATCCTACATTTGTTTGTGATAAGTGATAGATATTTTTTGATGAGTAAACTAGAAAATCTTTGCTGTGTGTAAATAAGGATTATACATGTATTACGAGACCTATTTGTTTTGAGTCATATCATTGCCAGATGGCATTGATACATTTAAGTCAATATTTCTGTCGCTATTTCTTCTTCACATTTAGATTAGATTTGTGCATAGCTATTATTGTGTGGACTGGACCGGACCAGAATTATTTACCAGTTTTGATGAACCTTTAATAGTAAATCAAATTAGGTTTTGCCCTTCACCGACATATAAACACTGTATACTCAGTGTGTTACCTCCCGAGTGAAAGTTCGAAACAATCACTCGGGTAGGACTCGAACCCATGACCTCCTGCTTTCTAGTGCAGATGTCTTATCACTCAATAGTACTTTTGGATGGCAGTGTCTTTGTATCAAATCCAAGTCAGAACGAAAAAAAGAGCAATGTAATGTTAGTAAAATAATACATATACTTTTTTGAAGACTTTCCAACCTTATTACTTTGAAATGTCATTAATAATTGGTTACAGTAAAGCCACTTTTATTAATTAATTCCCAATGGTGGTGGGACTGGTGGATAACGATTCCTGTCTGTTGTTTGAATGCAGGTACTCAGTGGGGTCTGGGAGGTACTTGTGTTAATGTTGGATGTATTCCCAAGAAGCTAATGCATCAGGCTTCATTACTAGGAGAAGCCATTGAGGATTCTAGACACTATGGATGGAAGGTTCCTACCGACATCAACCACTCCTGGTAAACCATAGGACAGATCCTAATACACCAAATCCTAGTACTCAATCACTGTGCACTGAAAGCTCCCTAGTATTGGTAAGATTATTGTGCTAGTTAAGATTTGAAGGTTGACTTGGTGAAGTTAGTGATAATTGTAAGTTTGCCTGGCACCATGTGAAATCAAAACTCTTTTGTGTGTTTGTGTGGTACCAAGAAGAACCAGTGCTAGGTAATTTACAAAGCAGCTACTCCATGACGTTTCTTCTGATCAATAGCTGGCACTTGTGTCATCAATGGGGCATCCATGAGTGTACAGTGATTCTGTGCCGTGATTGGTCTTGACCATGTTTACATTCTTTATAACTTTGTTGTTGGCTCTTAGTCAGTTCTCCCGAATGCATTTTTGTAAAACTTAACTGTTTCCTTTTTGTGGTAGAGATAGGTAAACATACAACCATTCAATTCAAGTGCTCTGATCATCTTCTAGAACAGTGTTGGACTTGTGTCTGGATTCTGGTTACATTTAGAGGTAACCAGAGGCTCATTGTATTGTAATGCTTGTGATTTTTGTACATGTAGGCACCAGTTTGTCTCAAAACTTTACCCCATTTGCCTTGGGTGAATTTGTAAAATTCCATCAAATACATGGTGGTGTTCGCAATTTGTAAATGCAACATTATTCTTACTGCATTTAAAAAAAATTGTTTTACCTATATTTCTATGTTATTCAAAATGCTTTCAGGGAAGAGATGGTGGAAGCAGTGCAGAATCATGTCAGGTCACTGAACTGGGGTCATCGAGTGCAACTTAAAGACAAGTAAGTCTCAGTAAGACAAGTACATGTAATTATAACTTATTATAGACATCTCTTAGATTGAAAGTATGGAGCACAAATTGAAACACTGATAAACTGACGTAAACTGATAACAAGACAACAATTTTTCTCCAAGAAATCCAATTTTCTCAGCAGTGTTGTACACCTACATTTTTGTCAAAAAGCACTGCATTTATGAAGGAAATGTTCCAAACTTTTCGCAGGAGAGTTGAATATCTAAATGCAAAAGGCACCTTTGTAGATGAGCACACTGTCAAGGCTGTCATGAGAAATGGAGATGAGGTAAGAATCAGTTGCTTTGAATGAAAGTATCCGGTTCATATGTGACTGCGTCATACACGCACACGCACCACTGGCGCCCATTGGCTGAACACGCCACCTTGCACTACTTCCGGTTCCGATGATTCCATGATACTCTGTGTGCAGTGGGTGTGGTTTAAGTTAAAATGACGTCACACTTATGAACCGGATAATCATGCAAACTGCTTGTCAAGTCTGGAGTTTCCCAGCTGCATTGCAGGCATCTTGCAAAATGTTTTCTCTTGAAATTGTGGAAATGTATTAAGATGTTGTCCTCCAGGTCTTTGGTCATGGCTAGGAACCATATTTGTTATACCTCTGTATTGAATACTGTATTTTTAATTGGCCTAGAACTATCACGCGTTAAGTTTATAAAAAGTCATGGCACACTCCCTGGGGAAAACCACGTACGTGATATCCCACAGGGAGTGTGCTATGACTTTGTACGTACGGTACGGTGTGAAACGCTTATATCGTTGGTACCCACGATATTTTCACCATGTTTTCACGCATGAGTGGGAGCAGCGAACTAGAACACGATCAGCTGTTTCGAGCATGCGACATGCATGTGAGTTGGCGTTTGATTGTTGCGTTTACTGCTGGTTGTTTTTGTGATTTTTACATCAAAATCCAAAGAATCCAAGACAGAGGTATAACAAACAATTGTTAAATGTGGCATTGCCTGATTTCTCAAAGTCGGTATTTCTGAAATACTGAGAGGTGAAATTCTGGCTCACATGAAGACACTTTTCAGTATTTGTGTTCCACAGAGGACGTTGACTGCTGGTAATATAGTCCTTGCAACAGGAATGCGACCAAGATACCCAACAAATGTAAGTGATTGCTGTAGCCAACTGCTGATAGTTGTCTAGGGTGTTGTTGATTAGAGGAAGGAGATACAATGATGTAGGGTAAATATGTTTAAGTCTTTTAATTGTATACATAGTTATCAGTTTGCAGCATTTTGATTTTAAATAGTATGTGTCCGTGCACAAGTACATGTACTCCTACAACGGCCAGAAAAGGAGAGTTGGGGGAGACCTAGGCTGGTTCCTGGTCCATCCACTGTGTATTTCGAATGATCCAAAGTTATTTGGGATGGGGATTAGTCTGGGAGACCATCGCAAGTTAAATTCTAACGTATTCGCGTGCCGACGATGCCTGTGGCTAATAGCTTTGGCACATTCAGAAAGTTGTGCATACTTCGAGCATGAACCAGTACAGTACAGTACGCACATGCTGTGTGTCCCGTCCATGGGGCTCTCAAAAGTTGTAAAAACGCACCCTCTTTTGTTGGCCCGTGGAGCCCATGCCTCCGAAGCAGTACATGACCGTACTAATCTCATTTTCCCCTTTTTGCCCAGGTTCCTGGGGCAGTGGAGCATAGCATGACTAGTGATGACCTCTTCTCATTAACAAAATCACCTGGAAAAACGTGAGTTCAGAAGAACTAAAATTCTACAAATTATTTAATACACATTCCTTTTCATTAGTCTTTACTTGTCTTCTATTGGTTTGAATAGGTTTGTATGTAGACATTCTTTTGACATTAATTTGTGGTTTTTTTTGTATGTTCTGTTTCCACAGGCTTGTTATAGGTGGAAGCTGTATCCTTAAAAGTGCCACGGCTATTAAACAAGAGAATTGACTTCATTACAACCTCTAATTGGTTGTCTGTATTTCAGTCATGCAACTCATGAAAAATGTATTAGTTTATAAAAGAGGAAACTGAAATAAAGTAACAAAGAAAAAGTAGAAGCAGATGATCTGACTTTGTGAAACAATTCAACCAAGAAAATGACTCCAAATGCACAATGAGGAATGGAACCACTTTCCTTCACATTCATAATGCAAAGATACAAACGGTTAAGATCACATGTAGTTTATTATGTGCTTTATCAGCCTGCCAATGACTTCTTGTTATAAGCATTAGGTAAGTTAATTATATTGCTCAGTATCTGAAAGACATGTATACGCGATTTAGCTTCCACACTACAAGCTGCAATCAAGCTTAACCTATGAATACTCAGATGTTGCTTTAGAGTGTGCTGGTTTCCTGAAGGGGCTTGATTTACCTGTCACAGTGATGGTGCGGTCCATATGCCTCCGAGGTTTTGACCAGGTTGGTTGGAATTGTGAATAGTTTTACATGAAGGAGCGGCGGATCCCATCATTAGTCACTTGTATCAAGCAGGCCTCGCAAAATGTTTACAAATGTAGTTGCCCTTCGGGCAGGGGTGCTTAAAATCTGGTTGCCCGAATTTAAATTTTAGTTGCCCAATAAAGAACTTTTAATATTGCCCCAAACAGCAGGCCAAATCCTAATAGTGTTATGGCTGCTTTACTTGAAGTGGCTCAGGGCTTGCAAAATTGGCTGTCCGACATTCCGGGACAACCAAAATAGTTTGTACTTGGCTGCTGCGCTATCGCCATTTTGTAAGTGTGTGTGGCCAGCAGTGGCCGACCGTGGCTGCGTGCTTGTGTACAGTATCCGCACTCTGCGCCGCGCTGGTACATGGTGTTCAGTGGTCCGGTCATAATAGTATTGGAACACACGTACACATAGGATTGCATTTGCTGCCTACACACATTACTTACGCAAACGTTAGTGCATGATGTAGCCGGACTGTATGGACAGATTGAGATTTACCGCTGTTTTGTTTTGGCTGGTATCCATTATTGGTTTATGCGCATTATGCGTAGATTACCAACATCAAATGGCAATAGCGCAGCAGCCGAGTTAAAAATGTTGATGATTCTTGTTCGACGCTGTGCACAGCTGGAACTTTTTGAAAATCCCATGGACAAAAATAAAGTGTAAAAATGTGTGAGTATTGGTGAAAAAAAGTGGTTGACCTAGAACTTTTGGTTGTCCGACAAAATATTTTGGTTGTCCCGGGACGTCCGGCAGGTGATTTCGCGAGCCCTGTCAAGCCCCTATACTTATGCTAACACACGCGTACTGTCTGAGGTTTCAGATCACCAGACTCCTGCAGTGCCACACCCTTTGCCTTTACTCTGCTTGATTGGACAAACATTGATCCACGCTTGATGACTAATACAGAGCCATATGTGCATTATTGATAGTACACCTATTATTTCTGTGATGGAAACACATTGACATGCCCAAGCGTGGGTATGCACAACCTTATTCTGCCCTTGTGAAGCATATTGACACACCCATACATTACTGGTGCAGGGATTCGCCCTGATTTTTAAGTATTAGTACCACGTTGACACACCAAGAACTGTGGCAACACTGTAGTTCTGGAAGTGCATTTGTTTCTTTTTTTCTCGTTTGCTGCATGCATTAAGCAAATGGCAGGTTTGGTCACCGGCTACATGGAGGATACCGGCATTGAATTTCTTTGGCAGTCTACACCCAAGAGTCTTGAAAGAAACAATGATGGAACAATATCAGTCAGATGGAGTGACTGCAGGGGACATGAAGAGATGGACACATTTGACACTGTACTCTTTGCTATAGGTATAAAAAAGGCCAGTTTTTCATTTTAGTACAATGAATGTAACGTGTGACTCAATGTAGAAATAGTGGGAATACATCAGTGGATTTTTGAACAATTTTGATTGAATACATGTACACAAAAGCAATTGAAATTGTGACTAAGGAAACTTTGAAGCTTGAACATTTAAAAATATGATTGGGAAAAAAATACCAACTGCTGAATATCCTACAATGATCAGCAAGTAGGGCAGAGCTGATTTGGTTGTACAGTAAACTCCGGCCAAGTCGACATCGTACAGCTCGCCAAATCGCTCAAGTCGGCTGTCTGACTAAAGTCCCGATTGTCTGTGATGCATTTCCATTGAAATATTTATTTCCAAGTCGGCTTTTATAAGTTTCACTCAAGTCATCGTGTTACTCTCGGTCCCCTATCCATAAAAAGCATTACAAAATCCTTTGTGTAAGTCGGCATTGGCATCGACTTCCTGCACTGCGGTTGGCAAGAGCTGTCGAGTGGAAAGTCACACACTGCTTTAACTGATGTCTGTTTTATTGGCACAGTCCGTGATCGCTGCACCGGTACGGTGTCGCTGCACAGCCAAGCTAAGGGGTTTCCCCAGTACTGCATCGTGAGCATATCAATACCAGTACCCCCTCTATTCCTGCACGCATGCGCTCTGTCCATTTTGGGGGTCGTCTTATTGAATGATGCAGTCAACACCATGCACGCATTTAATTTGTAACTGATGTACACGTACAGGTATTACTATTATGTAAACGTGGTCTCCACTATCAATACCCCAGCCCATGAGGATAATATTCAAGGATTAATTTGCTGGAAACAACTCAAGCATTAAGAAGTTAAACCAGCGTTAATCGAAGCCAATTGGTGCAGTGAATCATATCTGCATATAGCCCATTCATTTAAAGTCGGCAAAATGACGACTTACAGCAGGTGTCGACACAAATTTCCGGGTCCCGAGAGTGCCGACTTGGCCGGAGTTTACTGTATTTATACTAACAATAACGATCGACCTTCCCAGACTGCTGGTCGCTATGCCCAACTTATTAATGTGAATCATTTTGTCTTGGGTCAATTCATGCAGGAAGAGATCCTCAAACAACAAAACTTGGTCTGGAAAACACAAGTGTAAAGCTTCATTCCAATGGCAAGATCCTGGGTAGAAATGAGCAAAGCTCTGTACCACACATCTACGCCATTGGCGATATATTGGAGGTAAGAAGATGGGAAATGTTTATTGAAATACCATGCCATCTTTATTTGAAGGAGTCTAGTTCTGAGTTGCATTTGGTGAGATTTTACTTTGTGTACATGTATCAATTTACAGTTTCAAACTTCTTTTTATTTTAAAAACTGGTTTCGCATTAATTAATGAAAGTCTTGTGTTTTTTGTGTCATTTGTTTGGTTGAGTATTGAAATAAAACTGGTAACATATTTTCCTTCCTTTGAAGCTAATCAAGTATTAGTTGCTAGCTAATAATGAATAAGCACAGTTAGGAACTTGCTCTTTTCTCTGGACAGGGTTGTAATGAGCTGACACCGGTTGCCATTAAAGCTGGTAAGCTGCTAGCACATCGACTGTTTGGAGGAAGGTCAGAGGTCATGGATTATGAAAAGGTGTGTATATGAGTCCATGCCGGGGGGTGGGGGGGGGGGGGGGTGGGGGAGTTATTATCTGCTGAGCCACAGTATAGGTTCAAGGGGTTGTTCAGAAATTGTTTTAAGTTCCCATAAAACACTGGTTGAACTTGATTCGGTGTAACTGTATTGCTAAAATGATGTATGAATGGTTTTATATTTAGACCAAATCGAGTTCAACTCGCCGCTTAAACAACAAGTTAAACCCCCTCGGAGGGAGGGTTTAGCGCATAACCAGAACGAGTTAATCTCCTAGTACGATGTATGAACAGTTTTAGCTAAAACCCTTCCTGTTTTAGGCAGCGCAGTGACGCGGAGTTACGTAATGCCTTTTCAGTGGTGCCTTTTTGTATTAAACAAACAACATACAGTGGGCTACATGGTGTGCACAAAGCACCCGTGAATCTCTTAATTCTCGTATCATCAAACATTCACGACAAAAATCCAACTTCAAGTCCAATCTCTGCAAGTTTTTTTACCACATGGCCTTAGTTTAACATCGTGCTCATTCGCACACACGATGACGAACTTGAAGATATCAACGCAACAACTGCTAACCGGAGAGTAATTACCATAATATTCATATATATTCAACTACCAGGAAAACCATGGCACTGATTGGTCAATGTTGCAACGTTAACATCTCATGTATTTTCACTTGACTGGCATGATGTGCGGGCAAGTTGATGCAATAAACCTGGAGTGCAAAATATCCGTTTGTGTAGTTTCGAACACTGGTTTTGAACATCCAACTTTTTCCGTCAGAATTTCGTCTTTTTGCACCACGAAAGGTGTCACAAAAAATAAAGTTCTGGTTTTTTCAAGCAGACCCTGTGGCATCTCTGCGATGGTGAGAGGCTCCGACCACTTGTAGCAAACTGGTAAAAAAACTGGAAGAAATGTGCAGCCTCTTTTAGCGTGCTGTTTTGGCTGAGACAGAAGTTCTACGTGACCTTAAAAACCGATATAAACCACTTTGAGTTGAACTTGCTGTACAATAAACGGTGTCTGAACGCTCGGTAGTTTTATTTTTACGAACCTGGCCCAATTCTCAATTCCAGCAAAGATAGACAAATGATTATACAGATAGTATTGAGTCAGCCACATTCATGACCTTCAGGTAATATTTGAGGTATATTGCCTGGCAATGTAACGTAACTGTTTTTTGTTTGTAGGTTGCAACCACTGTCTTCACACCATTGGAGTATGGTACAGTGGGACTATCAGAAGAAGATGCCATACAGAGATATCAAGAAGATGACCTTGAGGTAATAATAAATAGGAAGACTAAGGTATTATGGGATATGGTTTCAGAGGTCATCCCCTTGAAATCCTGTCCAAATATGCATGCATGCACAAATTGTCAGCCTTATCAAACAATATTCCTCATATACAGGTTATTTCCCTGTTTGCCTGATGGCTCATTGTAAGAGTGGTGTCAATATGATTTATCAACTTTTAAAAACTGAAAAATACTGATACAAAATCTGATCTGACATTTTTCCATTTCTAGAGAAAAAATTCTTATATTCAGTCCACTACAATTTGTATGTTGCCATGCTTTCATGTTTTACAGATGGATTATACATTCTACAAATGTTTGGAATATCTTGTTGCTTTTACATACATATCTGCATTTTCAATAAAGTTTTATTGTGATTTTCATTGTTCAGATCTACCATGCATTCTACAAACCATTGGAATATTCTGTAGCTGACAGGTCATCTGACCAGTGCTATATCAAGGTAACTATACAGGAGTCCTACTATACCTATTTGCAGCCTCTCGTAATAAGTACAATTCACAAATATTTTAGTGCCACCAATCGTGTGTTTTTATTTATCTAAGGAAACTAAGTTTACTTTGTTGAAGTGGCAAATGCTGTACCATTGCACTAAGAGTAGCAGGCCTGTTCCCTGACCTGAGATGGTGGTTCATGTCAACATATATACAACATGTGAGATGTGTATGCTTATCATATCAGATGCATATCCTGCTAAAGGATGTTTGCTGTGCACAAACGGCACCGTGCTAGTAGTGTTTGTACATGTACATCACTAGGCCAAGCGCAGACAAGTTTAAAAAACAAAAACAAAAAAACTCTCCCCAAGTCCCCGCCCAGTTTACCAGCATAAGTTAGGAAAGATTTCTTAAAAAATGAGTTTTTTTCATTGTCTTATTGTCCATGCAGGCAATATGTTTACGGGAAGGAGAGCAAAGGATCCTGGGATTGCACATAGTAGGACCCAATGCTGGAGAGATAATACAGGGTTTTGCAGTAGCCATCAAGTAAGTTGATGTATGGTGAGAATTTGCCAAATGGTCTGACCAACCTGCACGATCCTGCCCAGCCCTGCCCCACCCCACCTCTCATTCACTGCCCCTCCCACTTTCCACAGCCTACACTGCCGCACCTAGGAATGCCCCTCCTAATCGTACTACACTCATGTCCAGCCTGTGCGACCCTGCGTAATAGACCATTATCATGTTGCGACCATCGTGATTTTTCCCTATTCAAATCAACGTAACTAAAGCGAGGCTGGAAGGAAAAATAGTCTGATTCCTTTTTGCATAAAAACATCATTCATTACTGTTATTGGATACAGGGAACATGACTGAAATGGTGGCAGCATGATAAAGGTCTATGGCCTGCCCTTACCTTGCCTCACTGTGCCTCATAACATTTAACAATTATTGACTGCTGTGATGTGGGATATGGCATTTTTAACACCCGAGGGGTGTGCACCAAGGATACTGTGCACACCGATGGGGTTAAAAAGATGTATCCCATATCACAGCAGTCAACAATTCTTTTTGTTAACAGTCATTTTTATAGACTGATCAATAGTATAGTGACCTAATGGACTGTGTGGAGTGCATCCCCTCATGTACCATGGCTGCATCAACTGCATCATTCTCAGAGACACATGAATATGCTTTCTTCTCTGCTTTGCACAACACAGCTGGAATAGACCACATGCCAACATGCCTGGAATGCAGATTTGCATTATGACCCAAATATTTAACTTCAAAATTAGAAATGCGTAGGGGTGTTAAAGTGAAGAATACAAAACTGGTAAAACAGTACGTTACTCCTCCTATTGTTACTTTTTATTGACTCAAACAGTCATCAAAGGTAATAACATTTGCATCCCTTGGTCATATCAAATCATGCCTAGAGAAGAGAAATCAATATTAGTTATGTCTGTGTATTTGGCAGATGTGGTGTGAGCTACAGGCAGCTAGCATCCACTGTGGGTGTTCACCCAACCTGTGCAGAGGAGCTTGTCAAGCTTCATATCACAAAGCGGTCAGGACTAGACCCTACAGTCACAGGATGTTGAGGTTAAGCCACTCCCTTCTCTCATCAACCCACCTCTAGTTTTCATAGTGAAATTGGTATTATGTCATATGTAATCAACCAAAGAATATTGAATTCAAACTATTGCTCTGTGGAATATGTGATTTGTGTTCCTTTCCTAGTTTCCTGTGGACCAGAAGGGCTGCCAAATATGACATGTTTTGGTCTATAGCATTGGTTGATTTATTGACGTCTTTTCACACTATGTAAACATCTTGATGGCCTCTTAAATGAAAATATCAACATCCAATCATGACTCCTACAAAATCAGTCAACGTAGCTGTCAGACGGAATTATCAAACCATTCTTGAACTACTATTTTCCCCACATTTTTCCCCATGAAACAGTGAAATGGTATCCCTTTATTACAATGAACATTTGATATTGCTCCATTCAATAACAGATCTGCTGTGCACTCTGGGTTTTGGGAACACTCAGCAGCCACAGACAGTTTCATGGGCACTGTGGATTTTTAGTCTTTTTTGTAATTATGTACCCTTTGGAACATCATCGTCTCGATTAAATGGTGAAAAGCTGTCATAAATTATGCATCAGGAATTTGGAAAAACATTTTAAAAGTTTAGAGGTGTGGTGGGAGATAGGAGGAGGGAGTCTCTTTTTTTTGTAAAATAAGAAAAGTAATCTGCATGATTGTAGGGTGTTAAGCCAGTCATTACAGCTGCTTTACAGACACATTAAGGTTGCAGGTAGCTCTGGATCAAGTAGTTTATGCTCACACCACGCAAAGCTACAAGTCTATTGTATTATTGAATCATATCATCAGATATTCGGACAGGATGTGTCCATATTGACAATAATTACTGAATAGTTGCCAGTCATGATGAGTCATTGACAAGGCGATTAAATCCTGAGCTCATTTGATTGTATTCAGTCTGGGCAGGTGACTGGTCTAGCGCCCTCTATCATGTTCCTGTCTCAATGACAGTCTTTCCTTAAACCGAAATACGGTGGGTTAGACTTGAGGCGATTATGACAGGGAACAATGAATATTCATGCATTTTGCTTGGAACCGTTTATCAGGCTACCAGCAATGCAGTACATGTATTTTGATTTAAAAATTATGCAATTATGCTAGAAGATGATTACACCAAAGGATTATAATTTATTGATAATGAATAAAAAGTGTTTGCACTTTCATATTCAAATTTTATTTAGATTTATTCAAATTTTGGGTTTTACTTGAATTGTGTGGCTTTGTTCACTACATTTGTTTGATTTGTTATGAATAAATGCTGAAATTGCTGAATAATAATGCTGTGTTCAATCATTCATGTTTTTTTTCTAAAGATGTGTCTCTTAGAGTGACCTTTGAAACTCGTTCATAGCGTTCACGTAATTGATGACATTCAATTTAATTAGTTGACAAAAAGTAATTGATGTTCGATCTCACAGACACAGCAAAGAATAGAGAGCGATTTTAGGCACATTACACGGGGATTTATGGGTTATCGATTTGTGCCGTTTGACATTTCGACGGTGTTTTCACGAAGTGACAAAAACCTCAATATCCTACAAAAAGGTCATCCCGAGATAATCGCATGTGGAATTAGCCCCTTTTTCAAAACGCATTTTCGACTAGTTTGTAGTTATAGATGTGGGACATTTTTGCATTGTCAAGTAACGTATGCTTTGTTCTTTGCTAAGTCAAAGTTGTTTGTTTAAAGTCCCTCTTAATTAAACCGTAATTCATTAATAAAGATAAATAAAGATATTCTTCACTTCGATCTCTGAATGCTGCCATTCCACAACAGCCTAGACGAATTTGATCTGTAATGACGAATATTCTCGACACGATGACTTATGAGGGTGACCAAACATTGAAATTGAATGACTAACTTGATTTTGGCAAAAGCGTGTCATTCTTTTTGCTTGGACAAAATTGAATGTCAGAGTTAGTGAATTTGAAAGAAAATGTTTTAAATAGCCGGGAAAACCTATAGAATTGGTTTTTTTTTAAATATATTGTAAATGCAGGTAATCTGGCCTTGGGCCACTATTTGTCGGGTCTAATAAACCAATCAGTTCAATTCAATTCAGTTTAAGAAACTTGAAACTGCAACTTGAAACTTCATTCAGAGAAAAACCAACAACTACATGGATGTTGACAGTACTGGTAGAGTAAAGTGAAATCTATCTCTTTATAGCATTTCTGTTGATCACTGCTTATGTCAAGCAGTTCTCCGGGTTATTGCAAAGTGCACTTCAGTCAAGATAAAGGCTGATGACCATTACTTGCTTATTAAAGAATATGACAAATGATATCATTTTGATGGCCCAACTACCCCTACCATGTCATTATTGTATGTACATTACACCAGGATGGAGCTAATAGACCAATCTAACCATCAGTCTTCATATGCAATTTTTCTTTGGCAGAGTAGTGTAATGAACGTTGAAAAACTCGAGAGAGGTGATTAAGAGTTGATGAGGTTTTATTGCAATCGTTTTTGTGGCTTTACAACAACGCATCAATCACAAACTGCAATCAGTTTTCAAACCCTGATACCTGTCTTGGATGTAATTACACAATAATAATTGTCTTGGATGCGAATGCTCGCTTAAGAAAGCAATATTGCCCCGGGTTGTATATTCTGAAAGTGGATCATTAAGCAGAACAGTGTCCCTAAATGATCAAATGAAATGACATCAAAAGTGGCAATATTCTCAGGTCGGGAGTATAAAACTGGTTAAATGTCAGTTTGAATCATATTCAGCACGACCGCGGCATAATTGTTTTGTCACAACACGTTGTAAAATCGTTGGAGAGACATTGCCATTTCAACTCGTTCAGAGAGGGAAACATTCACAATTCAAAATGACATGAGGAGGCATGACTTATTTCTGTGACGGAAAATTTCTCTGCATTAGCGAACATTGATTTTGCAGATTAAGTTTCGAGAAGACTTTATCTGCATCCGTCGAATACTGCGCAAACTCCTAACTAGGAGATCCCTCGTCTTTGTCATCTGCATCCCATTTTGACACCATACAACCAAGAACAGTATTGTGGAACTGATTGATACCTCAGCCGTCAATTATCATGGAGATGCAAGATGAACAAGCAGTATTGGAGATAAAAATGATCGTGGCAATCGTCCTTATTGGTGTATACATCATAAGCATCCCAGTCAACGCCTACATGTTTAGAGTGCACAGACAGTATGGTCGGCAGACAACTTTCAAGTTCCTGATCAAGACACTATTGATAACTGATCTGGTTATTTGCCTAACTAGCATTAGTAGACTCGGAGTAATCGTCTACATGTGCTTGGTTGCACATTTAAACATCGGAGATGGTGTTATGATTAATATGATTCTTACTCAGACAATCAAGGGACAATCCATGTGTGCGGCGGTAGTAATCGCAGCAATTGCTGCCGATCGTTATGAGGCGATATGCCGACCTCACAGACGATCGCTGACCATCGCAAAGATCAGGCGTGTTGTCCTGCTCATAGGAATCGCATCATTGGTCTGGATTGTTTGTGACACCGTCGGAACAATAAAAAGTGAGTTATGGCAGAGAGTCGCTGTGTTTATCACTTCAGCTGTATTCGCCATCATTTTGATCCTGGTAGCCTGCGTGTACATTAGAATCTGTGTACAGGTGCGAAACCGAGCCAAAGTGCGCGCCAATAAACGGAATTGCCGCACGTGTACCTCAATCGTGGCTCTTCGGAGAAAACAACCTATAAGCAACCTAGAAATCATTGCATCTACAAGACATGCAAACAGTCATTTGGATGGCAACTTAAGTATGGAAAATGCCGACAATGTTGCAGTATTGGGATGGGCCACGCCAACCATCCAGGTTATATCAGCCCGTGACAAACTCGTAGGTTCCTCATCGATTCATTCCCTTCAAGAGTCTATCAACTCTTCACTAACAGAAGCCCTTGGGCCTTCAACTTGTGTTGACAATACCACACAAAACACCTCAAACATGGACAACACCAACGCTTCTCCAACACAAGCAGCTGGACCATCAACTTCCACACAAAACACCATGAACATGGACAACTCGAAGATGCGACATCTAAAAGAAACGTCAACTAGGACACAAAGGTGTTCTGACTGTAGAGTTAATGAAGAAAATGTTGCCAAGATATCCATGATGTTAATCCTAACTACAGTAATTCATATCATATCTTGGTGTCCATCACTGGCATACGATTTGGTGTTAGTTATACACGAACCGCCACCAAACAGCACAATGCACATTGCTATGTGGGTATTAGATCATCTGTGTTATGTGAATGTGGCTTTGAATCCGTTCATTTATGGTTTGTCCAATAAGGAGTTTCGGCGGGAATGTCGGGGTGCCATCAGACGTGATTTTGGAGTTTAACAATTGGGACTTTGCATGGTTGAGCTGCTCGAGCGGAATTTGCCAGCTCAAGCTTGTTATAATTCTCACGTAGGCTCGATCTAGCTAAGCAATCTACATGTACATAATTATTAACAACACTATATAAACAACCTTTGTTTTGCCACCATAGCGACCGTTTAAGCCAATTTTCGGCTAACTTTGACAGATTTTTGTTGAAAAACGAGTTTGACAGACAATTTGACAGAATGGATTTTCTTGGCAGATCTCGGGCAAAATTCTGCAAAAATGGTTGCACTGCGGATTAATTTTCATGACGGTTCACCACGTCATGAACAGTTTAAAACGTCCGTAGCCCCTCCACGAATACCCAAGGAAGCTCCCACGGTTTATCACGAATGTCAAACCGTGGAGACCCGTAGCTCCAAACCGTGAATGTGGGACTGGGGCTTAACTGTATACGTGACGGGCACTTTATTCACTAAATCCTGGTCAAAAATATAATCTGCGCATGTATCCCAAGTAAACTTTATCTTCAAAATCGATGACAATGCTGACCTTTTACCGAAAGTGCAATCCACTTTTTTTTATGTCAACCAAATTACAAACGGTAATTTGTCAGTCTTAATCATATGCAAACATCACAAAGACGTATACCTGGCAGACACGCGTAATTAAAGCTCTTGGCATGATCAAGGGCTGACATTTTGAAGTGTTTGATGCAGCAGTCGTGGTTTTGAGTACAAATCTATCATTTCAAATGCGACACAGCAACCATTTGCAAGGTATACGCCCATGTCTTTGCTGGAGCAGAAAGTTGCGTCGGATAGTTAGTGGTACGCCTCCCTGATCAAGGAAGATGTGTATATGCAGGAAGACTCTTGGTCAAGCAGTATCTATACGGCAATCTTCCGATCGTTGGTTTGATCTGCTCATCCATACAGCTACTTTTACACCATCACAACGTCTTTTGGTGTGAAACGCGACTCGTTCACTTTTTTCAACCACACTTGCTCCTACTATCGCCTATGACCAATTTCCACTGCGATCTTTCTAGTGACAATAGCCATCATATCAGTCATCACACATTTTGGATGAAGTGCAATTTTTTGACACTCTGTAAACGTTTGGTAAGCAAATAAAAGGGAATGGAGATGGACGAGACGCTACTAAGTGTCCGGAAAACGGTAGCTATAATTCTGTTCGTTTGCTTTGTAATAATCATACCGATCAACTGTTTCCTTTTGAGGGTTTTTAGCCGGTTTGGACGACAAACGACATTCAAATTTCTAATAAAAGCTCTACTGGTCAGCGATTTAGCTATCGGTGTTAGTATCGTTTGTGAGTTGATTTTGATCATGTATATTTCCCTGTACGATCCCAGTGAGTGCCGAAATTGCCAAGATGTCGAAGGTGTCATCACAGATCAGGTGGTGGGAGGATTGACAAAATGTTCGGCAGGTGTCATATCGTTCGTTGCAGTCGACCGCTTCCAGGCTATCTGTCGCCCTCATAGACGGTCGCTTACGCTCGCTAAGGCGAAACTTGTAGTGGGACTCTTAGGAATTACAACTCTGGTGTGGATTGCTGTAGACATTTACGGAACTTTTAAAGTCGATTCCTGGAAAGAAAATACCATATACCTGGACATAGCTCTGTTCACTTTTATTCCGATACTAGTAGTTGTTTTGTATGTACGAATCTGCAAGCGGGTTCGGGACCGAGCCCGAGTCAGAATGCGGCAATGTACATGCCGTGTATCGAGTAAGATGAGAGCAAAGAATGGACCCCAACCGCCACAAATCCATGCAATGCCGAGACTCTCAAGTACTCATGGGGCAAATGACAACGGCAGGGCTCACACCATTTCGCAACTGGTAGCCATTTCGACGGATAAGAATTCAATCGTCAAATTGAATCACGATTCGCCAGGAACAAGCAGCGCCCAACACTCGGCGCAAGAAACTACCCCCAAAGCAGTCAGTGCAGTACCAGGAGTTTCAACTATCTGCGCCAAAGAGGACACGGTGTTGACCAATGAGGCTGAGACTCCAATGACTTTATCTCCTAGATCCCAACAGCGCTGTAATTGCAGCGGCCCGCAGCAACACTTAGTAGCCAAGATTTCAGCCATGCTGATTTGTACCACCATCATCCATTTGATTTCTTGGTATCTGCCCGTGTCATTCAGTGTGGTGGAGGCAGTGTATGATGGAGATTTCTCAAAGAACAGCAGACTTTATGTAGCGTTATGGGCAGTGGATCACTTGTGTTACGTGATCCTAGCGCTGAATCCCTTCATATATGTACTGTCTAACGGAGAGTTCAGGCGAGAATGTCGGGAAGCTTGCCAAGCCGCGTTTCAGTGCTGCAAGAAATAATGCGTACAAGGGAAGAGTATTACAGACTAAGTATGTAGGATGAAACTCATTCTAACTTGGGTATAGTGACTTTTCCATGCCAACAGACGAAAATGTTAAACGTTATCAAACTAATTAAGTCATCCTGGCCTTTGCAACCTGATGAATTTTTAGGTGATAAGTGTGAAAATATGAGATGCTCTTGGATTAATTCTCAATGGGCAAGATGTGAAGAGCAGTGTGTAATAAAAATGAACCGTTTGACTGAATTTGTGATTTTTTTTTGCCAAATGGGGCCTAAGTAGTTCTCATCCATTAACTCTCTAAATAGGCCCCCCTAACGTTATCACTTTTTGTTAATTTTTACACCTATTTTCATCTAGGTTTAGAAAATAGGTGTCTCAAATATGTAATCGTGAAACTTATCTTCCGAATAATTATTGACAAGGTAGACCTTGTCAATACAATTAACGTTAATACACAGCAAGTTTAGATACAGCGCAAATTGGCTTCTGATAGCGCCCTCTTTTTTTTGCTGGTCTCAGAGGGCCAGCCTATCGTCCTCTTTGCACATCCATGCATCTAAGTGACTGACTCACTAGCCTTTCGCCAAGGCCACCGTGGCTTAGAGCGGCGAAGCCGCGAAAAAGCGAAGCGATGGCAAGCCAGCGTTCGCCACTCGTGCGTGTGGTCTCTGCTCCGGTCACTTCGCGGCTTCGCCGCTCCGTCTAATAATGCCGGTTAATTATTAAAGCACGATGGCCTTGGCTAAAGGCTACTGACTCACTGACTGCCAAACTCGGTGTCACTTGAGAGTTGGGTGGTTGTTGGCTGAAGAGAGCGTGGCTAGCTGTGCCATTGTGTATTACCCCGTAACATTGTGTAAACCAGATGCATGAAAAGGCTTCCAATGTATGCATGGGCTCCGTGCGCGAACAAGAGAGGGCGCTTATTTACCACCTTAGAGTCGGCCATTTCTATCGATTGATTGGAATTGTGTGCACTCTGGGACCAGCTTTCCTTTGTAGCTTTTCTTGGCTGGTCTTGTTTTTACATTTTTGTATGGATTATTGATTAGGCATAATCGAATTTTTTTTTTAATAATCATTGCTTTTGGTGGTGTTTTTACGAAAACTGTTTAAGATTATTATTTGAATTGCTTGCTGGATGACGGGAAACGAAAACACCAAAGTTTGGATGAAAGCAAGAGTTAAAGGGAATGTACATCATTGGCTTTTGCTGTAATTTTTAGAAATGAACTATTTGAGGGGTTAGTATAATAGATCAAATATTGTTACACTAACTTGTTTGAAGTTTTGTGTTCGAAAATGCTGGAAAAACCAAGAAAAACAAAAATGTTTAAGCAGTCTGGTTCCCTGACTCCACTCAAGATGAAATAGATCAATATTTATAGATGCCGGAAAATTGTAAGGTAAGGGAACCAGTCTAGCCTGCCTACCTGCACTCATTCATAAACATGCAACCAATAGCAAACAAAATTTGGACTGAAAAAATGGTAAATTTGGATCAGTAGTTGAAAAATAGTCAGGTTTTTCCAACGGTGGTTGGCCGACCACCGTTGGCAATTTATACAAAAATACTATTTTCTTGAAAATTACTTCACACCAGGTGCCATAATTTTACAGGATGCTTTCCACTGTCATTTATCAACATCCTAGTAAAGTATTTCGTAAAATCTTGGTAGTTTTATTTTTCGATGTTTGCAAATGTTGTATATTCCCTTTAAAGACGTGATTATAAATAAAAAAAACCAAAAAAAAACACCGAAAAGAAGACACTAAGATTGAGTGTGTTGCTTTTTTGTTACAAATATAATTATATTCCCATATACTGAAAAAATTATTTAGTACAATATTATTAGGTTTTAAAGAAATATTACGACACAGTGTAATGATCAGAAGATGGGACAACTTTGACTACTCATTCAATTCAGAGAAAATGAATGGAACAAGTCTACAAATGTTGAAGATAAGATTGAAACTACATTTTCAAAATAAAATCAGTTCAATTTTTTTCCCAAGGAAATTGCCACTCATTCAAACAAGATTTGTCATGACATAGTAATTAACCGATGCTTTCACATTTGTAACATAACTTTTGCGCAAGGAATAAAAACATTGATTTCCCACGTATAAGGCAGGGATTGTGAAAACAAAACAAAATCAAGCAAAACCGTGTGTTTGTGTTACTGTACATGTATATACATAAAAGTGGGTATGTCTGTATGATTGATGGACATATCATCCCAATTCTCCTGTCTCAATCTGCCAAAACCCAACACTTGCAATTAATTGATCTTGATGGTTTCAGGACTGCATACGCCATAGCACCATTATTTTTCATGGAACTTTGTGTCCCAATCTTGTTGATGGACAAAGAATGTGTCGCTGTCACATGCGTAGCAAACAACCATGCCACAATCCCAAATATATTCCAACACATCAATTCATGTTAGTTAAGCAAATTGAACATGGCAGCCTTTACAGGCTAGGTACCCAACAAATGCATTGGAACAAAACATTGATACAGCAATAAACCTTTCAGATGTACATACCGAACAACTTCAAATGACATTCCTTTTAACAATATGTTTACATTTTTAAGTGTTTATAATTAGCCTACTGTAGGTATTAGAGTTGATGAATATTCATGTACAAGGCACAAGACATCATGGTAAATCTGTATAAAGTTTCCAATTTACAAAATAAACCACAATTTCTATGTATTCGGTACAGTATCACAAACATTAAAACTTGTGATCAAGGTCATAATCTGTCTCAGCATAGAACGCACACAGGCACTAAAAGACTCGTACAAAATCTTGGAAAGTATTGCTGAGTTAGAGTTTCAGGGCAATTTTCAGTTGGGAAAAAAATTGTTGCAATCTGACGCCACTTTTTTCTTCATATAACATCTCAATGAAGGTCTTTCATTGCAAAAATGATGATAATACATGAATCGTGGACTGAAAAACATTTCCAATTTTGTTAAGAAATACTTAGAAAATTTTCTGGACTCTCCATAGACTTTGTACACAATCGCAGAAGTGGCGTCAGGTTGCAACATTTTTTGCTTCAGATGTTTTGATCCAGGATATTCAAAAGTAAATTGTTCTGTTAACGACTCAAACAGAAGACTTAGATATTATGCACAGTTCCGTAACAGAATTGGTTTCAATGGCTGCATATATTTTGTATTTTGTCTGTGTGCAAACAAAGAATTGCTTAATAAGTTAGATGTAATAATATCTGAGTACATATACCACACTAAAATAAACATTTAAATCAGTGAAACCCATAATTTCAACACTCTCACCAACCATTTAAATCAATAAATGCAGCAACTTGGTGTTTTTTTCTTGTTTTTTTTTTGGTTGTTTGTTTGCTGTTAACAATCAGCATTGTACTATGAAGTGAAAAAAAAGTGTGTATATATCTATGTGTTCACAAGTTGATTGCCCGGCGAGGCGGCATTGCAGACTCCCCTGCAAAGCGGGCAAGAAGCCGCTTCTCGCCTGCGAAGCAGGTCAGGCAAACAAGCCCTATGCCCCGCAAACATATGATTAATCAAGCATTTCTATTCAGGCTTGTGTTCAAAATTGCTTGGTGCCTGTGTGTTTGGTTGATCAATTTTATTAACTAGGGATACAAGGAAAAAATGCAGTGATCAGGGAACAACTAATTACCATTTAAAACATACATTGCAATTAGGTATTTGAAAATCAAAGTTTTTCTTCATACACATATATATTTGATCCTATAACACGTTTAAGCAATTATATCCAGAAACATTTCACTTGGATCTGGAACTCAATGGAACTTTCATTTTACAGGTCCGCTTCAAGTCCAGACATGACATATGGGCTCTGTTCACAAGTACCCCCTCAACGGTAAGAAGGGAGAGTTGGTGGAGACCACTGGGAGAGACATTCAAGTGCATTGCCGACGGCGCCCGACACTCACGCAGAGATGCTATGGCTTTGTGCACATTCAGAATGAAATTAGATGGCTGGAGCTCAGAAGATTCCCCCCCCCCCCCTTGTTCACACACAGAGCCCATAGAGCCAGTCTTTGTATCGTCCCAATTAATGCAATGTAAGACCTTAGGGCACAGCAATTTAACAACACCTTCATTCAAAAAAGAAACCGTCTATTTGAAAACTAGAGGTGATGGTGGTATTAATCAAGGGGCTCCAGAAAAGTTGCTTTCAGAGAAATACATGCTACTTTACCTACACTATGGTCAAAACTCAACATATGTTTGTGGATTCTTTTTGCCATGCACCTCACATGAATTTTAATTAATTTTTTTGGATGACAATGGTTTCATCAACAAAGCTTCAAAATACAGTTACGATCTGTGTAGTACCACACGAAAACAATGATATGAATGATGGACGGATGATGACTCGCTGGCCAATATATTCAGGATGTCGACCATTAACTATTAGTATTAAATGTAGCCTCTTGGAGGCAAATGCTGGCTAACAGTATGGAATATCCTTGTATTACCTCCATTAAGTCAGGTATATGTACCGTGCCTTATTGGCCCTTTTAATCGGATAGTTTAAAGACAGAGAGCATGCACATGTGTATCAAATAGGGCTTTGGGAATTTCCTGTTTTTAAATATAGAGTACTGTCACAAATATAAAACATAAAGCATACAACTTTTGGCGACAAGCAACAAAGAATTTTTTTTGTTATTTTGTTCATAATGTGTTTATCAAGAACCACATGTAGGCACTGGTAATACACGTATATGTACACGCCCATGATCTACTCAAACTTTCCACAAAGAATTTCACTTGGGCCAAAAAAAAAAGTACTTCTGCTTCTGATTATAAACTTTTCAAAAATAGGGCAGGTAGGTTGGACATTTCCATCATGCCTTTTTTTGGCAAGTGCAGGACGCGGCTGGATCCAGTACAGCATTGCTACGCACGTGTTTTCATCACAGCAAATCGTGCAGGAAATTTGCAATCGTGCCCAATCGAAGGGAACTTGTAAAAACAACGGAAAGTTCTTATCAAAAATAGCAAATGTAAGTAAGCAAACAAATAAATACAAGCGTTTTCTACGTGAAAAGTTTGTTGAGAGGCGTTTCTGAGAGACAGAAAAGACAATCAGTTTTTTTTTAACTTGCCGATAACAATTTTAGGGTCGTGCCGTAAAAATAAGGTCGGTCGGGTAACCGGAAGTAGAATTATATTATGTTTTTTGCCTTATGAGCTGAACAATAAAATCACCAAGTGCCATGATTGTTGGTTGGCATATCAAAAAGAACTTTGTTATTACTGGGTTAGTTTTCTCAATTATCGTTGACATCGTAAACTTTTATAAAAAAATACATTTCTTTATATTCCATGATTGACTTTCAGGAAATATGCAACAATGAAGCTCTTTTTGCAGCCGAAATAAAATTTTTTTAAAATCATTTTATTTCAGGAGAAGACTGTAAACTCAAAAGAAAAATGTGTGCTGCGATTTGTTTAAACCAAAAATTACAACCACCACCTTGCTTTGCACCATCCAATATCTTGTATCTACACAGAAGCCTATCAAGATCATCAATCATACATTCATATTATCTTTAAGTGACAACAAATGGCAAAGAATGTCTGACAGCGTCCGATGCATTAAATCATACGACAGTTTCTACCTACGCTAGTTATATTTTACCACCTGTATTGCAAGTGGTGGCCAAATCTGTTGACATAAACAGTGATGTTTGTACATACCATTCGCAAGGCAATGGAAATATCCATAGGCAATTGACCAATGTGTTCTATGAGCGAAAGACATGCACTGCGCGGATGATATACTGACGACACATGGGGCATTCAGCCAACTGTTTGCCACACTTTGTACATGTGACCATGTGACCACACTCTAACAGCACACAATCGATAGGAGAGTCCATACAGATCTTGCATATTTCGATTTCATCATGCTCCAATGTAGCTGGTTTGGGTTCTGTGAGAAAACAAGTGAAAGAAAAGAGCTTTCAATACCACCGCACTGGTAATGTGAATTCAAGCTTTGCTTGATCACTGCCTGCTAATACATTGTTAATTATACAGCTGACATCATCACAATCTCAAATTCCATCTCTTTAACTGACAGCAATTTAATTGATCTGATTCAACACTTTGAGACCAAGTGGTTCAGATATGTAATGGCAGGTCATTGTCTGGAACCCAACCAGTGGCGTAAATCTGTGCTGGCGAGTTGGGCTGGGGGGGGGGGGGGGGATGGGGGATTGGTTGGGGGGGGGGGATGCATTGGGGGGGGGGGGATGGAGGAGGGGGGGGGGGGCTGGACACCACATTACACAAGGGGGCGCTCTTCAGGATATACATGTATATTAATATGTATACTCACTCTCACATCAAAACGGCGCATTATAAAAACTTTTGTACTTTGCTTCTCCACTTTTCAGTGCTATTGAATATATTTTGGTTGCTGGAATGTTCGAAAAATACCTCAAAATCCGCATTTTTTTTCTCATCACGAAAAAGTGGGGGGGGGGGATGATTCAATAGGCCATCCCCCTGGTCAACATATGGGGGATTTACGCCCCTGAATACAACACATAAACTTCAAATTTGAACACTTTTTGATATCTCCACTGAAAGTGGCAACAACAGGAGATGATATCGGTTCAATGTTCAGTGTGCATTGTATTGATTCCATTGACAGTAATTCAAGCAATTTGTTCTGCAGTCAGAGTTACAAGGCTATCAGGTGCATTGAGCATGCACAGCAATAACACATCACTGGCAATCCTAGTACAGAAAAAGGATCGGTTCAAAGCATTCAATTTCCTTTGATATTTCCTGATTGCATACAAATCATAGACAGTCTACTCACCATTGGAATCAGTACTAGCTACAGCAGAAGCTTGTTCTGTGCAACAAAAAAAAGAAACGAATATCATTCAAAAGAAGAAACAAAGTAAAGATCAAGTTGAAATTAAGAACAACTTCAAATTTCCAAGCAGCTATAGTTCAACCAGCTAGCCAGCCAAAAAGCCAGCCAACCAGCCAACTGGGGAGCCATTCAGCCAGGGGAGCCAGCCAGCCAGCCAATCAGCCAGCAAACCGGCCAGCAAACCAGCCAGCAAACCAGCCAACCAGCAAATAGACAAGCAAGCCATCCAGCCAATCAGCACGGGAGCCAGCCAGCCAACCAGCCAGCCAGCCAACCAGCCAGCCAGCCAACCAGCCAGTCAGCCAGCCAACCAACCAGCCAACCAACCAACCAACCAACCAGCCAGCCATCCTTTAGTCCCCAGACTAACCTTTGCTCTTGTAGCCCTCTTTCTCACTATAAAGTCTCCTGACTCGTTCTTCCAGTTCCCAGCGTTCCACACAGCCTTTGTAATTGATGAAGTTCAGCGTTAGTATTTCTTTGAGCTGTCGTACACTCAGGTCAGCTATATCATCTATTGTCTTGAGATCACTGATAGAGGTTCGATGTCTTACTGGTGGCTGTTAGAATAAAATGTAAGGTGAAATGTTTGGTAGAGTCAAAAGTGGGACAGGTCAATTTGTTAAAAGGTTGAATTTTTGAAGATTTTTCATTGTCAGCACTAGTGCCATTTATTGCCATGCATGCATCTCATTGACTGAATTTTTGCCTTTGACAAAGATTTTGCTACAATCAAACGTTTGTCCATCTAATTTTGTTTGATTTGACTGAATTCTGTTCATTTTAAAGCTATAACATACTATGTAAACTCATTAAAAGAAGCGGTCCAATACAACAATATACCATCCCACTCATTCATTGGAGGGTTTCCTTTTGACTAGGGCCTTTCTCCCTAACACAATCCTTGTACTGCAGCTGCTTGCAAATCCCTAGACTTGGTGCCAAGTCAGTAATTGTTTTGCGTACAGTAACCAGTAATGGCTCAACGCATGCAAAATATCGATTACTTACTAGTCTTATACACGTGTTCTTGTTTTCTCGGTTTTAAATTTTTTTTTTATTGTTGTCTCTTGATTTTGTTTTCTTCGTCGACGCTTCAGGTGTGTGGGGGTTGCTCAATAAAGCAACTTATCGTGCTTGCACTTTTCCCACTCTACCTGGTTCGTTTTGTTTAATAATAATAATAATAATAATAATAATAATACCAACCGTGCCGCTTGAGTTCGACTGAAGTTCACGTACAAAATACGACTATCTAACGACTTGTTATCAAGTCTAGCAAATCCCCCAAACACGCATGAACACAATATCTTTGTTGTACAGGCGCACTGAGTCCTCAAACCGTGAGCCCTGTCCCCAGTTAGGCAGATTAAAAAAAGGGCTGCGTCTAAGTCACAAGTCATATTACTCTAATTTGAAGGTTTTGTTCCTTACTTGTTTGGATTGTTCTGGAGGAGTAGTAGTAGCACTACTTGGTTCCTCCTCAGGGCTTGAGAAGCTAGCAATGGGACTACGCTCAGTCTCTGACTCACTGCTACTGGATCCTTCCACCCAGGTGTTTCTTGTCACACCTATGTCTGGTGCATCCTGAGGAGAGAATCAAAACTCAGTTGGGTACGTGTCCACTGGTGATTTTTGTTTTTAATTCATAAATACCTAAAACAATTTACCCTTTGGTCAAGAGCCCGTCATGTGACCGGTCTTAAACGCGGATGATAAAGACATGGCTGGCTGGTCTTAAACACTTTTCCAGTGTCACATGAAATTTGGACTCCCAAAAATCCGGTGCCTTTTAACGTTTCATTGGTTGAACGTTAACATTCCTCACGTAGTCAAGCGCAATACTACCAGTGAATCAGTATTTCACATTAAATTCACATTACACCAGCCCAGCTGTGTTTTGCGCGACTTTGCGCAGTACGTGCGACGCGCACGCCAATCTCCTTATAAGGTAAGGAGTTGTAGAGGGACATTCCATATTATAGTCAGAGGGGTGTTTCATAACCATGAAGTAAAATTGTTGAACAAAATGGTTGGCAACGTCTAGTTTTTGACTTGTTTTGATTTCTTGACTGAAAAGATTTGTTTTTTTGCCCGAAAAGGTATTTATGAATGGGAATAAATATGTGCTTGGCGGATACCGGCGCTTTATAAATTTTAATTATTATTATTATTATTATTAAACACTCTGTTTAAGACCGGTAGGAGTCTGGAATGCTGATAATGAAATCCAACATCTTGTGTGCATTTGAAGGGTTTAAAAGGTTCAGACACTTTACATGGGGCTAGATACCCAATTTCACTTCATGAACAAAGAATGTGCATTGGTTTTCAATATTGTTGAAATTAAAACCGATTACGTGTACATTTTCAGGGCAGATCGAATGTTCATTTTTGGTGAAAGAAATGTGTTTTATAAATAAGAACAATAATGGCATAAAAAAGAGAGAACTTGTCAAAAGATGACAGCCCCTCTCTGCGTTCAGAGATTTGGCAACTGTAGCAGGCAGCAAACCCAAACAAACATCTGTCTGTATGCAAGAGATGATGACATCTACTCACATGGTTACGGTTGAGTTGTTCTTGGCTTGCCTGCACTGCAGCATCCCCGCTTTGTGCCCGAGGACCTTGGGAGTCGGTTCTACCTGATCCTACATGACTGGTCTCAGGCTGACTAGTAGTAGGGGTTGTCGATGTGGGCTCTGATGCATCCTCTAAGTTATTCACAGTCACCATGAATGCACCGCCATTACGCGTGGCTAAGTACTGCACAACCAAGTCGACCAATTCACCCTTTTCTCGACAGGCCACCGTGTTGATGTCACGGGCAGCTAAATACTGACGCAGGTCCTTCACCTAACAAAAGAATCACAACAAAATCCTAACAATGAAAAATCCAAAGTAGCAATGATAGTGATACCAGTGGTAGAGAAATTTGAGATGAAGAAGAGAAGGATAAGAGTGGTGAGGACAGGGACAATGTCAATGACAACATTGAATACATTAACCCTAACCCCTTGGGTATATTTGCTAGAAAGTATCCTGGATCCACCAAAATCCATCAATTTTGCCATGCAAACAAATTTTGGTGGCCAGTGAGTCCATCAAAATCCACCAGTTAGCCGGGAGTAAATCTGTTGAGATCCTGAATCCATCAAAGTCCCCCAACTGCTCAATATGGAGCTATCCTGAATCCATCAATATCCTACAGTACCCCTAGGCTTCATGTCCTGAATCCATCAAAATCCCCCAACTTTTTCAATATGGAGGTATCCTGAATCTGCCAAAATCCCCTAAATCAGGGGTGTGGATTTTGATGGATTCAGGTACGTTAGAGTTAATGACTGAGACATCACTGATGAATGATAACTTCAATCCAATTGACACTACGACAATAATGACATTTATTGACAATGATTGTTATCAAGATGAACTGGGTTGAATACGGATGCCAAAGATGACAAAACAAGACATTAGGAAAAACAGGACAGAGGTGACAAGGAGGAAAAAACACAACTCATAGTCAATAAGCTAATAACAATGACAGGGATAAAGACAACAATGATACAACTTCTGTTCACATAAACATGTCCTATATCAGGGATAAATTCTATCCAAATCAGATATTCTCTATATTCCAAGCAATCTTTAACCTTGAACTGCATCAGTTGACTCCGATCCTTTGAGCCCATGAACATGTGACATATCTTGCAGCACTTGCGGGGCTCTTTACGCATGCAGTTAGTACAGAACAACTTGGAACAGTCCAGGCATCGATTCTAAGTGGAAAAAGGGTAAGGAGGGAAATGTTTACAAAGTTTGCGGATCATATAGGAAACATCAGACAGAGAATCAGTATATCATTGTTGATCAAAGTTTATATAGTGTATTCCAAAACAAAATTCCATCTTCTGTCTGCAAATGGGTTATCAACTGCTACACGTACATCTGTGTGTCGAGTGATTAACCCTACCCGCCCTGAATCCTTCAAAATCCTCTTTGAGGAATTTGGGGAATTAAGTTACATGGCAAAAGTGTGTTACTGATTTCATACGATGCACTTTGTCAAGGTCTTGGGCCGGACCTTGTGTTGTTTTGCTCAGCCATGCATAAATATAGGCCTGGATTATGCTTGAAATCCTCCGTACTGCTCCAGGATGTCACTGGCCAAGCCTCAACACATTGACAGTCACTGGCGCAAGATTCAGGCAGTGGTCACCCCTCCACGGACCATATTCAAGAAATAGGCCTAATTTAGGAATTTGCAGGATTGAGGCTACATCCCTGTGAAAAGGCCTAGGGAGTCGGGGTTAAAGGATCATGCAGTAGAAATTTTGAAAAAGAATAGTTGAAATGCACCTGTTTTCAATTTTACTTCATAACAATCTTTGTATTGACATTTTCTTGGGGTGAAATAGACCCTTTTTGTTTTCATGATAATGTAATTGTTCATATCCATGAGCCAAACAACACGGTGATCTCATGTAAGGCAAAAGCTTCAGTAATACAGCTGCTTCAGTATCAAGGGTTGCCAGGAGTTTTAGTGTTTGCTGGTCTTAACTCTCTGTCAAATGGGCTTTTTGTTAATTTAGTACATGACAGCTGGCTGAGCTGGTCAATGAGCTAACGTTATGTCAGCTCATGGATTTCTACAGAAAATGCCTGAAAAAGTAGATTTTATAAATAATATTGTTTGCTTAACCTGGGTTGTTAATAAAGATATTGTGTATCAAAGTTGGTAACAGTTGTTGAAACAAGTATTCTGTGTCATTTTCTGTGTTTTTTCAAACAGTAACATTTTTTTTTGACGAGACGGGTTTTAGGGTCATTGTGTTTAAATAGTGATATTCTTTGAACAGATTGAGTAATTTAAGTAATTTCTTTATCCAAAAGTAGCTTATGAAATTGGCTTCCCAGTCATTATTATTTTTGGTGCTACACATTTTTTTTAAAACAATTTTTTTTGGGGGTTTGGGTTCCTTTTTTTTTTTTTACTAACCCTGTATTTTGTCTTACAATCGGTCAAATATCATTGCACTACCTCATCTTTAGATTACGTTAATTATAATAGTAATAACGGAGTCTTATATAGCACACGTAGATGTATCTACCAACAATTAAGTACTCAAGGCGCTGGAAATTATGTCAATTATTAAAGAAAGGTAAATAAAGTTTATGAGAAATATGAGACCCATTATGTAGCACCTTATAATGGTTTACAAGGTGCTGCGGCGCACATTGCAGCCACTGCCAGAAACACCGGGGCAAACCCCTTCTCTTAGCGATGTGTAACTGGGTTCTTTAACGTGCATTACACAACACACGGGACCTACGGCTTTACGTCCCATCCAAAGGACGAAGCAATAATGGTAAAGTGCCTTGCTCAAGAGCACAAGCACCATGTCCCACGGTCAGGATTCGAACCCATGCACCACGGCACACGAGTCGAACACCGTAACCATTGGACCACAGCGCCCCACATAGTAGTCTTGTAGTCAATAGTAGCCTTGTAAAATAGTAGCCTTGGTCAAGGCGTTTGATTTTTCGTCCGTACGTGGTAAACGATTGGCGGCATATCCTCGCTATGCAGTGCATTAAAAATACAGCGCGAACAGCGACCTCATGCGGCCACTATTTTATGCAAATCTTTTGGATCCAGACGAACACCTTGGTCCAATCGTCCATGTAAGGTTTTGGGGGTGGTGCTCATTATGCTAATAGCCTAAGCTGACCTTAAAACTTATTTTCTTATTGGTCGATTGTTGCGGGGAAACTTGCATATAGTTCGCGAGACATGTACTGTACATAATACATACACACACGTTGTGTGTCGATGTCTTACATTACACACAGCACCAATGCACAAAAAAATGTGGTTTCTGACACGTCCACAAAGGGCGAATAGCTGCAAACGATTTGATGACGTCGAGATTTACTAAGGTGTGATTGGACACTTCACATATTAGCCCCGTCTACACTTATTTGTATTCACATATGAGGTCATGCGCTGGAAATCTAGCCCAAAATAAAGAAAAGCATAAGCTTTTGCGGATGATTGGACCAAGGCAATTGTCTGGATCCAAATGATTTGCATAAAATAGTGGCCGCATGAGGTCACTGTTCGCGCTGTATTTTTAATGCACTGCATAACGAGGATATGCCGCCGATCGTTTACCGCGTACAGACGAATGACGAACGCCTTGACCAAGGCTATTATAATAGCTACATGTAGCGCATGTTAAACTTGATCAGAGCATTTGGAATATTTGAATATTCCATCAAATTCAAGTTAGAATAATTTAGTAATAAATTATTCGAAAATGCACAGCCCTAATAAAGAATGTCCCAATCTATCCAGACCCCCTGTGGAGTATACATGTACATAGCTGTATCCGGTTCGTTAGTGTGACGTCATCTCCATTCAACCATGGGTACTTCACACGTTGTAGCATAGCACGATTGGAAACGGAAGTTAACGCACCTCGAGTGTTTATCCAATGGGCGCTAGTTATCAGTGGTGCATGCACATGTATGACGTTTTTACTAACGAACCGGATACAGAAACCTCATTCACTCTTTAGAATATCATAAATATTACTTTCTGGACAGATGTTACCGCAGCAAAGTGAATGCTGCTGGAGCTGTCATAAACTATTCCAAGTGCAGATAGTCCTTGTGATCCCTAGTAATGGGGGAGGTACATGTACATGTATTGTGCTTACTCGCTGTTAAGAGACTTAACAATCATGAAACACTATGTTTCTGCCATTACTGACAACATGACTCTGTGCAGCTGTGTTTGTGGATTGCCACAGTCAAGACATGAACAGACTCTCACCTTTCTCTTAAAGATAGTGAAATTGGCAGAGCAGGATTCACACACCATGCTGACCTCCTCGTCTTCGTCAAGTGATATGAAGGACAAGTTCCTGCTGCTATGACCTGGGTCCTGTGAGCTAGCCCGGGGAGCGTTAGGTTGTCTGCTCTGGGGTTTGCTATGGGATCTTCCTGTGGGTGCCTTTGGCTGTCTACCCTGGGATATGTCAGGTTGTCTGCTCTGGGGTGTGCTATGTGATCTGCCCTGGGGTGTCTGCTGGGTTCTGCTCTGGGGGCGTGAGGATGTGGTCTGAGAGATAGTGCCGCTGAATGCTTCTGACCCCTGTGCTTGTTTTCCAGCAGCTGAACCCATGGAAGGAAACCTAAGAACCAAAGACAAATAAATATGCTGAAAATATCTGAAGCTAATTAAGAAAACAAACCTGATTTGTTTTAAGATAAAGTCATGATTGTTAACAAGCCCGCTTTTGATCAAGTGTAGCCTATTACAAATATAAAGAAAACAGGACAATTCAATTCATTAATAAACCAATAGCATTCGTCTGTACATAATACCTTACATGTGTGTCCTTTAGTGCAGTAGTATGCATACATCACATACTGTATTATCACAAAGAGCATGCATGCAGGCCTTTCAAATGAGCAATGTCCAGACCTTGGTTAGTCTGATTACAAATATTTTCAATGCAGTATAGCATTGTTAGATCAATAGCTGTACCAATAATTCCCAGCTCCCGCGATTTTCTGCAAACCGTCCAAACATGTCAAAGTGCAAGTCGGAAATCTGGCCAAAATTCCTGTTCTAAAGATTGTATCCAAAAGATACACTGCCAAACTTGTGTATCAAGAAGCTTACATTTTCCTTTTCAATATGCACTTTGTCAGAAAATTTTTTTTTGGAGACTAATCCAAAAGAGGTAGGTTTTTATTTGAAGCGATCCGAAACTAGGAAAAATCTGGAACTAGGAAATCGACTGTAATAATATCTAGACACGGGTCAAACATGTAGCAATTGCCAGACAGAGTCAAGTCTACAGCTGCCACCCAGATAGATCACTATTGTTAGAATTCCATAAAAGAACTGCATGTATTTCTCCTCATGGGGATTTCCGCACATTTACATACATGTACATGTATCGCCAGGACATGTACAATGTATTGTCTGTGCAGCAACATGGCCTTTGGTCAGAGATAATCAATACACACATTTGTACATGTACATGTATGTAACACCTCGTTATGCATTTGTATGTACTTCTGTCTGTATGAAGGCAGAACACATGTACATGTAGTTTAAAGCAATCAGCAATGTCTGACAACACAAACCAATTGCATAAACTGCATGCAATTGATAAGTGTTGCTAAACTGATAATCACTGCAAACTGAACAATTCACAATTTTCAGATAAGCGTTAGAACTGGGATTCCCAAGCTAAAGAAAAGATGAAATACTGTATAATAAAATGTAGGATTTGGTTTAAAACAATACAGCAAAAACATGTTGTACAACTCGTTGGAAAAAGTAAAGAAAAAAAATATTAAAATAAGTCTTGGAGTGAACTGCACACAGCAGACCCGCAGTCAAGCCACACATTTGTTTGGTTTGATCCCACAATTTATTATATTACATACATGTACCCTGTACATACGTACATTATGTGGGCATGTTCAGATGAACATCCCATAAGTGTTGCACAAATATTTGACTTTTTCCATATTGTGAGCCACACACCAATGCATGCATTGGTTGAGGAAATGGAATTCAGGACTGTTTTTCACTTGATAATCACTAAGCCCATTTTACACCTGAAAATTACAGAATTACTTATTATTGGGAAAAAATATTCATAGCTTGGCCGGTATAAAACATTATGTTTAAGACCAGTTGGAGTCAGTCCCACATTCGGCCCCTATGCTCTGACACCCCTATGTTCTGACACATGTATATGTTCTGACTGCACATATTCATATCCCTAGCCCTAACCCTAACCGGGAGTAACACAATCTAATGTGCAGATTGTCGGAACATAGAGGTATTGGAACATAAGGGGTATCGGAACATAGAGGTATTGGAACATACATTTTTGTCGAGCAGTCACCCTTCCGCACATACTGACTGTCCCATGTGGTTTAGGGGGCCTACCAGTACCTTATCCGTTTCAACTACAAACATTACATGTAGTTATAACTTATATCCTCGACCCTCCATTATCTGCGCAAGTAACACTTTGAATGCGCGCGCGATGCCAAACGCAAATTTAAGGTGAGTGTGTAGAAATAGGACTGGGTAGCTTGCTTAGACCCTCTATTGATGTTCTGACAATGTTATGCCCTAATAGTAACAAGGGTCACGGTACCAACTATAGTTGGGCCAGTCCCATCTGTAGTTGGGGCGGTACCAACTCGAACCGGGCAATTGGGAAATCCCAACTATCTGGTTCGTTTGTGACTCCATCGTACATATGCGGATGCACCACTGTTTAGGCCAAACAAAAATACCTTTGGTTCGGCTCTCATACATGTCATACACGTGCAAGACTGCTATTTGCCCAAGACATCCAAGAATGTAAACATTTTCCAAAAACAAAGAGGAAATTCTTCCAGTGAAATCTCAAAATGACAATCAGGGAATTCTTCGTGAAAAACAATGGGGAAGTTGACGACGATTTTTCAATTAATATTGCCGCATACGCGCAAGATAGAGGCCAACCTGACGACCTACGGAGAAGCATAGAGAATGTCGACACTGGGGACTACTTAAACATGTATGGTTCCTCACATGTGTTGGCTCCAGAAAAATAAAATAAATAAAATGTCATGCCAACCAACCGACCCAATTTTTTCCTAATCATGTGACCCAAATCAAAGGTATTTTTTTGTTTGGCCTTTCAAGCGCCCACTGGCTAAACATTCAAGTTGCATTAACTTTCGGTTCCATTCTTGCAATGCCACACTGTTTGAATGGCAAAGTTGAGACAACGTCACACTAACGAACGGATTGTTGGGATTTCTCAACTAGGCGTTCATGTACTCTTTCGCAGTTGGAACTGTTCCCAACTACAGTTTGAGACAGCCCAGGTATAGTTAGATCAATGTCGTAGTTGGGGCATAACAATGATACAAATGATTATAGATTTGCAATGATCACCGTTTTTTAACATTTTTAACTGCCGTAAGTATCCTCTACCCTCCAAAATCTGTTCAGGTAACGTTTGCAACATGCGCACATTGTCACACACAAATTGAAGGTGAGTGCGTAGCGTAGAATTATGACCGCGTAGCTTTATGGGGTCTGACGATAAAGGTAGAAGGGTTGAAAATTGCATGGAAAGAATGTTGCAACCTGACGCTGCTTTTTTTTTTCATAATCATCTCAATGAAGGTCAGTCATTGCAAAAATGATGATAAGACATGAATCTGAGACTGAGAAACATTTTCAATTTTGTTAAGAAATACATGTACTTAGAAAATGTTCTTGACTCTCCACAGACTTTGTGCACAACCGCTGAAGTAGCGTCAGGTTGCACCCATGGTTGCACCATCATGACCATTCTTTCCAATTACATAGCTGTAGCTTCAAGCTAACATAGCTGCAGCAACGATAGACCCGTAAACGTACGTGGCATCATCGTTTATTGACGCCATGTTCACAGGTCTACCATAACCTGATAACTATTGCCACGCACTACACTACGTTAAAAAATCCTTTAGACGTGTCAGACTCAGAGCCACAAATCAAAGGGGAAAAACATGGAAAGACTCCTATATCTGGCCATCACTTGTCACCCGTGCACATACCATATGAGACTGGTCTGAAAATTTGGTAATCCTTATCTTTAGGACACCTCTATTTTTTTACGAGTTCGGTTCAAAACTGACTTTCGCAGATGACTGTCCAGTACCAAAATGACTTTTGCAGGCTAATGCAGTCTTTTTTCTTCATATAAACTCATGTTACTATTGTTAATGTTAGTTGTAATTTTGAAAGCACTTTCAAAGAAAATGTGACTTTCCTACCTTTTTTGCAGTCAGACGTGCATGTTGTAGTAACACGAGTGAAAGCGCTACATAATGAAAGCCCGATGCTGATTGGCTGCTGAAAAAAATAAATAAGATGTTTATTTTTTATCAGCCAATCAGCATCGAGCTTTCATTGCATCGAGCTTTCACGTTTGCCATCTTGGTTTTTGAGTCTGTTTTCTGGTTGTCATCGTCGTCTTTTTCCCCTCAATTTCCCTCATAAATCAAAGCCCTGCCCTCTTTCCACAAAATTAAACCTACTGATATTCAAGAAGGTGTCATTGCCAATTGTTCAGATGCATGGGCGTCGCCAGGATTTTTTCTACAGGGGGGGCAAAAAATTTTTTTTGCCAAAAAATGCTTGTATTTCTCAACACATTCTCGATTTATCCGTTTTAGAGGGGGGCAGGGACATTTTGCCCCCCCCCCCATCAACTCATTAAATTTACACCACTTTGTCTTCGCGCTTCTTTTTTTGTGTTACTTTTCCAGGGGGGGGGGGCAAGTGCCCCCCTTGCCCCCCCCCCCCTCGCGACGCCCATGTTCAGCTGTGTCAAGAAATATCAGAATGTCAATTTTGAGTGTCATTTATTTAGTCAACTTGGTGAGTCTTTCCCTTCATAGGAACGGGGTCCTAAAAGTAAGGATTACCAAAAATTTCTAAGCGTTTTCTATACTTTGATAGTTTTTGCTACATGTAAGTAAATTTGACTTTTTTAGGACAAATTGATATTGATAGCTGATACTTTGATAGGTCACTGAAAAAACTAGGGGGCCTATGCCCACGATTTAGATTTGTATGTTTGATATTTCAACTTTTCAATGGGCATGAAGATGTACGCTAGATCCGTCATGTCCGTGCGGTAGGACATACAGTTAGATTTACCTTCCTTCCTCTGACTGAGCTCTTGTTAGGGGTACGACAGTTACGACGATTGTGGTTTATAACTCAATTGACATTGGGTAAGTGCTCAATACATTGTACCGGTGGCCTTCTTTGAAAAGCAGTTCCTGATAAAAAGCATTTATTGAGCATGACAGAAGAGGTTTCGTCATGTTCGTCGTTAATCGTCAGCATCAGTCAGTGTTTGGTTTATCATGTTTGTTGATCTACGTCGTACACTTGTGCATGCGCATATGCAAGGTGCAAGTCACTGTTACACGGACCGGTGTCACGGTCTCACTTCTCCGGCGTGCTAGCTTCTCCGGGTGGATTCGGCGGATAATTGAGCACGTTATAGTGCACGTTACATGAGCACGATTCATGCTCATGTGTCCACTGTGCTTACTTTTCCTAGGGCTGTTGAAGTCTACCAAGCCCATTAATAACACAGTGAAGGACACCTAAGAATGTGTTATGTAACACTTCCTGTGGGTCAAGTCATTCCATGGTCTTGCAAGCATTCTGATTGGTGTTCCCAGCGTCATGCATGTGTGTGTGTTCATGGAGGAATAATTAAGAACGAACTCCTTGGTCCGTGTTCCTTGCTCGTTCGTGGTCCATTTTGTCTTTATTATTGCAACCATGGCTTAAAATAAATGTGCATTTCAAGTCTTTTTTTGTTATTGGGAGTTAATAGTGCGTGCCACGAAAATTCTGGATTCGACTGATACCCTGTAACCATTCATACAAATAAGATCTTACGTGCACAAGTACAACCCCGAGGAACTCGGCACACTAATACAGTGACGAAAATGTACACTACTGCGCAATTTTGTGCATGCGTGTTGAAGCGAAATTTTCCTTTTGGAGAAGCTAGCACGCCGGAGAAGCGAGACCGTGACACCGGTATGGGTACGGGTACCATGCATGCAGGCTGGCGGTGTACGTGTGCAATGAAGGAACCAGCGGTAATCTTTTCAGTACCCAAATCGATGCTGTCCGTTTTAGCCGAATTTCTGCTAAATGTGACAGAATTTTTCAACAAAAAACGAGTTCGACAGAAAATTTAGCAGAATAATTTTTTTAAAGCAGATTTCCAGCAGAGTTTTGTACAATTGGTGATTTGACAGAAAAATACGATTGTTTTTTGACAGATTTGAAAAATGACCCTAATTAGTTTTGAAAAAAGGCTACAATTTCAGGTTTCTTTTACGTGTATAAGCAAGTATCACAGTAAAGTACTTTCAGACAATTGCAAGCCAGGCTAGAAAAAAAAATGGACATTTACAAATTAAAAAAAAAAGATAAATTTAATATGTTAAAAGAAAATTTTACTTTTTAAATTGTTTAAAGAAAATTTTACGATTTTATGAAAATTTTATTACATCTCCATGTCAATATATTAAGTGTTGTCGTGTAATGATTTGGCAGATTTTTGTTGAATCTAGCAGATTAATTTTTTTAAGGTGCATTTAGCAGAATTTTGCTATTACCTAAAGGTCACCCTGCCCAAGCCGCCCACATTCTGTCATAATTACCCGAGGCTGATGCTGGGTGCCAAAACGAACAGTTTAAAGACATCGCCAGCTTAATAATGTTTATTTATTAAACCATCCACCATGATCATGGAGAAAGGAATGGCACCAAAAGGTTTTCATTTGTCATGATACAAAACAACTCTCCACCGACAAGAGGCTCGGTATCATGTATAAAAACATGATGAACCAAACCATTGGTCAATGAGCGTTTCTGAAGAGGTGCTACACTGAGTACCCCTATTACAAACTTTCAATTTCTGTCATGTTTCCTTAAATCTACTTTTTGGGGGTTCTTTTTGGGAGTTTTCAATCCTCTGAAAAAATACACTTTTACTTGGGTCGCACAAAAGTCGTAGTGCACGAAAAAGACAGGTATTCATTGTCAGGTTGCAAATAATTCAAAATTTGTAAAGTATATACAATATGCCCGTGTTTAGTTTACAAAACAGGTAGATGTTGTGTTATATAGGTCTCATTCAAGAAAATGAGTTTTGTAGTGCTAGATAAATAGCAAGCAACTTATAAAAGCAAAAGCCAGTTACAGACTGATGCATCAAAAAAACAAGACAACTCCCTTAAAGGGAAGATACATTTGCAAACATCACAAAATGAAATGATCAAATTATCACAAAATACCTTACTGGATTGTTAGGGAATGACAGTCTAAAGCATCTTGTAAAATCGTGGCTCCTGGTGTTCAGACATTTTCAAGAAAAATGGTATTTTTCCAACGCTGGTCGGCCGACCAGCGTTGGAGAAAACTGGCTTGTTTTCAAAAACTCCTCCTATTTTTTCATAATTAGTTATTTTGTGTTTTCTTTGCAATTGATTACACAAGCCTGCTGGACTGATTCTCTGACCTTACAATTCCCCAAAGTCTATAAATTCTCCGTTTCATCTTAAGTGGGGTCAGGGAGTCAGACTACAAGAACATGAATGATTTTCTTGGTTTTTCTAGCATCTACAAGCCCAAACGTAAAACAAATCATTTTAACAATATTTGCTTTAACATACTAAATCTTCCAAATCCATTTATTTCTGAAAATTGCAGCAAAAGCAAATGTTGTACACTCCCTTTAAATAAAGTCTTACGTTTCCCTAAGGTTTATGTACCCCCCCCCCTCGGCAAAAGTGCATCCAGTTACATTTGGACATTCTACCTGGAACAATTTTCACTTCACACACAGGGTCATAGAAAGCAACAATTCCATTATTAGTTTATTACAATGCACAAGTTCACAACTTGTCTTTACAATTATTACAGTTTGTACAATTTCAAAAAAAGGAAAATTAGACTAGCAATGTTGTTTATGTTGAGATAAAAATCTTAAGTTTACAAGGTAAACATAGACAACCCTCTATCATTTCTATTTGCAGTGCCTAAAGACTGTAAGATTGTAATGAAGACAGGAAGACAAACAGGGATGAAAGAAACGCATTCCACAAGAAAAAAAATGGCCCACGTTTACAAATGACTTTACAAATTTCAACTTTTTTTTGCAATTCAACAATCATTACCGGTAGGTTTAAGGGAAGATACAACATTTTCAACATCAAAAAACAAAATTATCACAAAATATCTTACTGTATGTTTTATAGGGAATGACAGTCTAAAGCACCCTGTAAAATCGTGGCTCCTGGTGTGCTGACATTTTCAAGAAAACTGGTATTTTACCAACGCTGGTCGGCATGTGATGCATTGTAAATTGAAATGAGTTTCATGAAATCAGGTACAGAAGACTTTCCAACCACATGAATCATTGCCTACACATGTACTCCTTAATGCAGATTATTATCATCCTAGGATTTGCCTTGACTATCCTCTGGGAATTACAAACTGCAGATAGAAGTTCTACTTCTAGTTAACGACTAAAATATTCATGGAATAGTTCTGTGAAAAATGAGCAAATAATGAGACACATTTGAGCTTGGAATGGGCAGTTCTAACAAAATGTCAATACTGAAGGTATGATACCTGTTTATACAATGAACAAAATGGAGCAACTGTTTGGCATGATCAGACAACTCAAGACCATCTTATTTGCTGTGCAAGTGTGTGCAAATATGCAAAGTATTACTGGCAATTACTCTCTTGAAACAGATTCTGTTGAACTTCAGTTTTGTCAGATTTCCTGCAGCAAGCGGAGTAAAATATAAGCAAGCTCTTTTTCTTCTCTCTCCAATGATATGCAAATCCAATACAGAATTTATGACTTTAATATCTTGGATTTTTACATGTTGGTGGAAAGTAAAGTATCAGTACAGTGGACCGCGGCTAACGAACATCGCGGGATCCACAGAAATTGTTCATAATAGCCATCGTTCGGTATAGCGATTTTAAGCTGCCGGTGCTCTGATGGTTGAGGCTTGATGGCTTGATGTTTTTACACATCAACGGCGCCCTCTTTTGACAATTGTTGTAGTGTGTAGTGGCATTTCTCATTCCGTACGGGGAGTCGCGAATCTTGTCCACAATTCAACTTAAACCTACAGGAGGGTTTTGGTGGCTTTTTCCTTCTATTCCTTGGAGAAATAATAGCCACCTGTCACTCTTCAACATAAAGCCTGATGTAAGCACTGGCCGTTTGACGTTTGGGAATTGAAAATGGCCCAAACAGTCCTTGATTTACACCATAGATTTGAGGTTTTAGCACTTGACATTTTCGAACAACAATTGCTCGGGAGCCAAGGGTGATGTTGGGTATAGACGAATGTTCGGTATAGTGGTGTTTGGTATAGCGGTGTTCTCCTTATTCCCATAAGAAGCAGCAGATTTCATGGTCAATTCTGAGACACATCCGCATCCCGTCTGTGTCAGGCTTAGCTTCACCGATGACCACGATCCTGTCTTTGAAACCTCAGGCAACAGAAACCATGCGTCCGAACTGAATTCTTCATTTCTGATTCTGCTGATTCTGTTGGACCAGCTGTAGTGGTTTCTGATCTTGTTGTTGCTGCTGTTGCTGCTGCTGCTGCTGTGGCTGTCTTGAATGTTGCTGTATCTGCTGCTGCTTTTGTTGCTGCTGTTGCTGTTGAAACTGTTCAGCTGCAGCCTGCTGCAGTCGCATGCGTTTCCTGGTGTAGTGTTGCCAGTGCAATAGTTGCTGGTCATCAATAAACTGTGCACATTGGGCGTTGGCCAGCTCCTTGCGAAAATGTTCATATTGCAGCAATTCAAGAAAGTGAAGACACTGGGGGTATCTGTCAATTGTAATGAGAAAAGGCACATTATTTGTGAAGTCAATCAACTCAACAAACCCAATTTCCCAATGTTGTTTTCCAAGGAAGCATCCTGGATCCAACTAAATCCAACACTTGTACTTTTGAGAGCCCAGTGGATTGGACATACATGTACCATATGTGCGTAGTGGTTCGCGCAAGGTACCAACAATTTTTATTAAAATGAATGTGCACATAAGCCATGGTGTTTTCGCGTGAGCATCAGGTGTTGTCAATGTCAGCAATACAATGTCTCTCGCAGTGGTCTCCCCCAACTCTCTCCTTCTTGCCGCTGAGGGGGTACTTGTGCACGGAGCCCATGCACTGACGCCCTTACAATCCTATGTTTTTTTAACGGTCATCAAGCTCCATGTCTAGGATAATCAGTGGTCTGAAGTTTAATTCGCCGAACAAAATTAAAGCTGTTACTGCAGTGGTACGTTGCACACGCATACACCGCACATGTTCTTAAAGACAAGATGAGCATGCATTTTGGCAACCCTATAGGTCTCTCTCAAATGACGTCATTTCCTACAGACCAGCCACGTGCATCAGCACTTTGAGCGTCAACTTGCATAACGCGCATCGGCTGAGTTGTACTTCGTACTCACATTTCGACAACAAGCGCGCGTGTTTGATTGTGTAAAATACGCAGTTGCAGTTCTCCTACAGAGATGGCTGCCTTTGAGAGAGACCTATTGGTCGAAGGAGACCGGGGTGCATGCGCACTACCGGAGACACGACTCCCACGGCCCTGGTGCCACCACAGATAATGGCCATCACCGAATTAGTCTACATAGACCTGAATCCATCTAACTACTTGCAACAAAATCAAAAAAATTGGTCTTGAGGACACTTTTCACTGATACGTTTTTCAAATGCATTTACTAGAAAGAGCATACACAGCTCTTTACATGTACATGTATATGTATATATCACATCAGTCTTGACATCTACATAAGCACATTATGTTTTTATGGAAGTTGCCCTAACACAAGTCCAGGGCCTCTCAAAGGTATGGGTTTCAAACTAGAAAGTACAGAAAAGAATGGAAGAAGTCACTGTGAAAGTAGGTAATTGTGAAACATTATAGGCAGAAAGGAAGCAAGATTCAAAGAGGGAGTGCCACAGAGAGGCAAGGCAAGGGAAAAAGTTTGATAAATATAATATGGTACTAGCCTTGGGAACTGTAACAGTGAATGGTAATGTTGTGAAAAGCCAGTGAAAAATAGACTAAAAGAACAGTCAGGGGAATATCTATAAGCAATTTTTGTTACATATTGTATTGAATTCATTGTGTGTCATATTTGTATTTGGGTTTATATATCAAAAGTAGATCAGGCGAATTCAGACTCACACATTTAAAACCATCTACGACTTAAACGATACAATCAAGTGATGCCCAAACCTTGGATGACTTTTCATTTTTAAAGGTAGAGTATGTTATGTGCAGCTATCCAAAAAGTCACTGACAACATTATTGTTGAATAGCATACTTGGTTTGAAAATAGTAATGGCACTAAACTCCCTGGGAAATGATTCTTTCTGGCATGCTGTCATTTTCAAGAAAACAATAAAAGAAGTTCACTTCCAAAGGAAATTTCTGTTAGTAGTCCGTTATGCGCAAAGCGTTGACACGATGCACATGTGCATGCAGTTGCTATTATTCATTTGTTCAGTGCGTGACATTGCGTAGCTGCAATTGCTGATCGGCTGAATGAGAACGTGTCCCGACGCTGATTTCGGGCACAATTCATGATCAAAACATGACTTGGCAACTTTTGAATTGAAATCGTGATCCTAGAATATTGTTTTCTTGGAATATATGTGCATTCATTGAGCTAAAACTTCATCAGGTTAGCTGTCAAGTGCCCTTCTTTATTTTGAGTACTTTTGTTGCTTCAAACGAAAAAAACGCACAAATGACAAATGATATACCGTAATTTTCAGAATATAAGCCGCGGCTTATACGTTGATTTTACCCATGAAAATGTTTACTGCGGCTTATACACAGGGCGGCTTATACGCAGAGCCTTGAAGAATAAAAATGAGATTCACATGTGTATTTAATGTACTGGTATAAGAAGAGATCTGTTGCTGAAATGAATTATCAATTAAGAAAGTCATTAACAAACCAAAACCACGTCCCACGTAAAGGTACCGAGCGGTGAAAAGTACGGTGAAAGCTGTCTCCGATCGACGCTATGCGACAAGCCGTACATGATAGTACGAGTGCTGCCATGCAGCATGATTTCCCCTAGCGGACCACACCATTTGTGGTAATAAAGGGGTGTACTTTCTTGGGAACAATAATTACCAATATTTCTGCTGTTTAAAAAAAGAAAAAAAGACGACCAATACTTTTTATGGTGTTCGAAACATTTCTATATTCGATAATCAGTTGTTCAATGTCACAATATAATTCTTTTTCTTGAAATGTATTCAAGAAGCGATGTAAAACTCAAAACAGGGACTAAATCACCCCTTACAAAATTAATGGATTCGTCCATAAAAATGTCAGCATCGTTTTGACTATTTTTGAAGAAAGTTACGATCGAAACTTGAATTTTTAACGTTACTACTTGTTGGTAATCCCAAAATCGATAAGTTTTGAGGTAAAAACGAAACTGTTTATTCTTAGGACAAAACAAATCAGCATCTGCTGCCACAAAGCAAGATTTGTACGTACGTAGCGCTCCAGTCCAGACAACACACGGTGGGTTGCATACTCTCTCACGTGCTGAGGGAAAATGTTGTCATTCGCCGGCGCGGCGCAGGCCAGGACGGGCATGATGGGGCAGCCAGCAGCAATTCCCGGTGTTTATTTTTCATCATCAATTTATTTCCACATTTGTTTGTATGAGTATCGATTGTAAATAACTTGATATTTTATAACTTTTGTGGCCCTTTTAGTATAAATGGAAATGGTTCAGAGCATTTTGACTAGCATTTGGAGGCCTTACAAAATTGAAACCGCTGCGGTCGGTGCGGCTTATACGCCGGTGCGGCTTACACGCCGACTTCAAATCTTAATTTGCAGATTTTTTTATGCTGCGGCTTATACGCCGCGCGGCTTATATTCCGAAAATTACGGTACTCTACCTTTAAAGAAGCAGGTATGAATCTTCCAACTGTGCGAGAACATTGCAAGACAAACTTCAACTTTGCATCACAGTTCAGGCTCTCAATGCTAAGCCTTTGTATTACATTAGGGGCTATTTCCCCTTCATTCTCACAACAAAATGGAGCACCTAGGCCCTCAGTTTAAATGCTTCTTTGAGATTTGTCAGTACCATCCTCATTCTAACAATTTTCCAGGGGAATATCCTCAAAGCTCCCCTAACTCATGGAGTAAGGAACTAATTGCCTTTAAAATACACACTGATGCTGGAGCTGATACATAGGCTTATCTATAGACAGTGCCATTTACAGCCTATAACGGATTGCTGTGTGCAAAGAGTTAACATTTGTTGAGAAAGAGTAACAGACCAAGCCATGAAAACCCTGACAATCAAGGTATGCAGAAAGAAACAATGAATCCAGTGAACCCTTGGATTTTAAACAAACAAACTTACTTGAGGTATTTGGCAAACTGGGGCTCTTTCCAGTACTGCAAATATTTCAGGTAGTTGACAAACTTGGTATCTTTGAAATATCCACGTTGTGCAATAACTGTAAGCAAGGAAACAAAATGTTGGTTACATACAGAGTACAGATACAAAGTAGGTGTGGTAGTACATGCATGGTTTGCTGGGCGCGTATCATTTTTACTTCCCAGACAGCGAAAACAGCAAATAACATGCTCCAATTTGATCATGAACATTTATGAGGTGTAGTAATACATATTAATAAATACCTTGGAGAGTTGATGGTTTCTGATTGGTCGAGATAATGGACCGGCTTCAAAGATCAAGCGAATAAATGGCCCCTGAACCAGCATTGATCAAGCCCCGTTCAGCCCCATGCAAGCCAATGATTGGTCAAAATATAGTAACAGTCCTGCGGTAGCTTGTAACAATAGAGCAATGCACATGCGCTCAACCCCCATCGCGTGAGACTGACTCACGCGTACGCAACACAGTTGCTAGGGATGCGCGCGTGCGCGCGCGTAAGGAAGTTTTGAAACGACATCGTACAGCAGTGCAGTATATACTGAGGATGTTTACGACGAAAGCGTAGATCTACGATTTATTTTCTTTGAACACTTCACTCACCGACATATTTACCTTTCCTAAACCAAGCATCTTTGTAATTCTGGACACAAGGAATGTGTAAACGAGATTTCAGCTTCCTCCATCAGGTAAAGATATGAAAACATTGTTGTAATTTGTTTCGCTACGGCAGCAGTTTCTGTTGAGTTTATGTCGTTATAGCTGTTAAGCTAAAATATGGCCCATGAACATGAACACAAAAAACTAGAAATATCGCCGAAAGAAAGTCACAAAATTGGAGCATTTTAACTGTTTATTTCGTTAAAAAGGTATTTATTAATGGGAATAACAGTGTGAGTATCCGGTCTTCACTGCGTGAGTATCCGGTCTTCACATCCGGTCTAATGACCGGGTGTGGGGGTGACCGCTGTTAATGGACCTCGACTTCGTCTCGGTCCATTAACAGCTGTCACCCCCACACCCGTTCATTATCACACAGTGAAGACCGGCTCCTCACACTGTTATTCCCTTATTATAACGTGTGCCTAAATGTGTAACATGTATGTTCCACTTGGGGCAGGCACAGATGGAATTTGGGCAGAGAAAAATGGTACTATAAAAAACAAAACATGGTTTGTAACAGAGATCAAATACTTGAGCCACTTTGACTATTGAGACAACTGAACCATTGTGGTAACTCGACAGTTGACTGCTGTGTGCTTGACTGAAAAGACAGGTTGTCACATAAGAATGTTGTCATATTAAAGCACACAAAACACAAAATATGTATGGCCACACTCCTGTCTTCTCATTGGCTATTTAGAACAATATAGTATCATTGGATTGGTCTTTGTCAATAATTTCAATATAAAACGTAATAAGCACTTATAAGAATAGAATTGTGCCGCTATTTCTTTCCGAGTTCCCTTACTACATCACAACAGTCGTCTGTTGAGACAATTATGTCTTCCTATTTCTGTGGTTCATGGAACCTTTGTGTGTCTGCCACTGCTGGTCAACTGGATGCCGAGTAGTTGGCTTGGTGGGGCTGTGGTTGCCTAGGGGGTGTGAACAGCCTGAGCTTGGTTAATCAATTATTTTATAGAGTGGAAAGTGATTTGCTGAGCCGGTCTTTACTAAGGGAATAACAGTGTGAGGAGCCGGTCTTCACTGTGTGATAATGAACGGGTGTGGGGGTGACAGCTGTTAATGGACCGAGACGAAGTCGAGGTCCATTAACAGCGGTCACCCCCATACCCGGTCATTATCACGCAGTGAAGACCGGATCCTCACACTGTTATTCCCATTAATAAATACCTTTTTAACGAAATAAACAGTTAAAATGCTCCAATTTTGTGACTTTCTTTCGGCGATATTTCCAGACTTTTTTGTGTTCATGTTCATGGGCCATATTTTAGTTTAACAGCTATAACGACGTAAACTCAACAGAAACTGCTGCCGTAGCGAAACAAATTACAACAATGTTTTCATATCTTTACCTGATGGAGGAAGCTGAAATCTCGTTTACACATTCCTTGTGTCCGGAATTACAAAGATGCTTGGTTTAGGAAAGGTAAATATGTCGGTGAGTGAAGTGTTCAAAGAAAATAAATTGTAGATCTATGCTTTCGTCGTAAACATCCTCAGTATATACTGCACTGCTGCACGATGTCGTTTCAAAACTTCCTTACGCGCGTGCACGCACGCATCCCTAGCAACTGTGTTGCGTACGCGTGCGTCAGTCTCACGCGATGGGGGTTGAGCGCATGTGCAGTGCTCTATTGTTACAAGCTACCGCAGGACTGTTACTATATTTGGACCAATCATTGGCTTGCATGGGGCTGAACGGGGCTGCATCAATGCTGGTTCAGGGGCCATTTATTCGCTTGTTCTTTGAAGCCGGTCCATTATCACCGTTAATGCCCGGCCACGTGATCGAGTCTCGACCAATCAGAAACCATCAACTCTCCAAGGTATTTATTAATATGATTTACTTATTTCTGCAGTACCATTCGTACTGATGAATGATGCTGTAGAGGCACCTATGTAAAAGCACAACTTGTAGGTACCAGTATGGACATTCTTATGTTGTCAGGTCGGTGATACTGGGGTTGTTTGGCTGGTGAAAATTTCCAAAAATTTATGCATCTCAATAGTTTTCCACAACAAACAGTTTTGGCAAAAAATGAAACATGCAGTTGATGGTAACTGTGGTGTCAGACCCTTGTATCTGGTAATCTGATCTGACTGGATGCATCCAGCAGTAGCCAAATCCTATATGTATGTCTGCAGTTCCGCTGTGCACTGTACAGCAAACATGAACAACAGACCAAGTCTACCATGACCATCGGTCTGCACAGCACCAGCCATGTTGACAATTACTTTACAATTCACCCATAGCCAATGTGTAAACTTAATCTGGCTGGAAATGCTGTCACCAGTTACAAGCCGTGTCCGCACTGGACTTTTTGTTTGGAAGGTTTTACTGAGACGATGGTAAAATGAGAAACGGTCAAATATGACCACTGTCCGCACTTGGACTTTCGACACAGGAAATTTTACCCTGACCGCGTGGGAGAAGTAACCGAGCTGTCAGTGTCAGAGTATCAGTATAATGACTCACCGTACACAGAAAACAAATTGCCGATCACATTTTCAGCCGCCGATACGCACAGTAATATTACACACGCCATTTGCATGCACAACATAATCGTTAACATGATATTATTTCATCTTGACACGCTAAATCTTGACGAAAAAGCCTATATTTCTATTTTATTTATTATATTTTCGGTATTCGTTGGTTCCCATTACATGCTAACAGAATCAAGGCTATGATGTGGGACCGGAACCAGAGACTACGGCCTACGTACGGTACCGGACCATGATGTACCGTGCATAACTTTACAGTAGCGTAACAGGACGAATTTGGATCCGAGAAAATACCTAACATACATCGTTGGTGAAAGAGAATTTCTGCAAATTAATTCTCAGAACGTGATCTCTCTTCTCTGTGTATGTATTTCTCCGTTGAAATATATTTTTAACGAGATTTTACTGCTCGGACTTGGTGATACACAGCAGCGTGTTTCTACAAAATATTCGGCCACTGCACGTGCTGGTTCGTGCGGTCTCTGTATGCATGATGTACGCCGGATGTACGCTTTCCCGAGCAGCTTTTACCGACTCGCACTGTCCGCACTGGACTTATCGTCTCGGGAAAAGTGACCTGGTCAGTTTTAGCAGAGTTGATGTTGACTTGAGGCTTGATTGGTCTGCGTGTCAAAACGTCAACTTGTATCGATGGATGTCCTGCCAAAGGTTGAAAGGTGTACAGTGACTGACTGACTGACAAGAAGTTGCCAGTCAAGTTGGTCAACAGTCAAACAGTCTGAACGTTATGGTCTGGAATACTTACAATTCAAATAATGTGGATTAGCAAGACACTGGACGAACTCAAGCTCCACTTGGAATCTGTTTTTTTCAGCATCTAGGCCCTCTAGTTTAAAAAGAAAAGACAGAAGTATTTTTTGTTAGTTTAGTAGATGACAATGACATCATGGAGGATGTTATGATGTCCACACGTCTAATTTTCTTTTCAAGTGCACTGTTAACCATTTTAGGTTCATGACATGGGGAGGCTCCAGTGTTGGACCATGTGTGCTCAAAATACGCAAAACAAAATCTGGCTAATTTTACTCACTCTTAAGCCAGCAAATTTCTCGAAAGTTTTTGATGTGGCCAAAAAAAGGTCCTCAGTATTTCACCAACCCAGTTGGAAGACTCAAGTCAATTTTTAAAGGAGACTTTTCTTCAATATTTTTCACAATCTATTTTCTTAAATTGCATGTTTTGCAAGTTTGGGACTCTCATACACCACTATTGAGAGTAGCAAATTTTTGGACTAGGGAGGTTCATGACACGGGGAGATCTTCCTACTGCTGAATGTCCCCAAGTCATGAGCCGATGGAAATTTCAAGCCAACCTGTTAGTCCTCTTACTTACTTAAACCCTAAAGATTCACATATAAAGCAAAATTCAGTGAAAAGGAGTAGGGGAAAGAGTTCCATACCTGGACATCACTTGACACCCTGTGCACAAACCCTACTAGTATGATACTGGTCTGTAAACAGTTCTAAGGTTTTCTCAGTAAATCAAATGCTTCAATATTTTCCCTGCTAAATTTGACTTTTTAGGACATGTTATCGCTTTCTGATGGCTGAAAGGTGGGCTGGAGTAATCCTATCTTTAGGACTCCGTTCCTATATAGAGCAAACTAAATGACACTCAAAAGTGACATTTTGATATTTCTTGACACATATGAACAGCTGGTAATGACACCTTCTTGAATATTGACAGGTTTAATTTCGTGTGAAGAGGGCAGGACTTTGAGGGAAATTATGGGGGAAAAGACAACGACAACAACCAGAAAACAGGCTCAAGATGGCAACTTTGAAAGCTAGATGCAATAACAGCTAGATGCAATTCGGGCGATTCACAATGCAGTGCACCACCAAGAGTTTGCCACGGACAGTTTGTTTTTCAAGTTTACGGTCGACAAAACATGGCCCATTTGAACGAGTGTCAGTAGAAAACTTGAGCTAATTTGTTAAAGATTGGGGCAAAGCATTCTGCCGCCTTACAAAAAACTCCATATTGATAAAACAAAAAGAAAAGGGCAAACAGATACTTGAATCATATGCTTATGAACTTTCTGGCCGGAAAAACTAACAATTTCAAATGTCCCGCGTTGCGAATTTTTCGACCAATGCACTAGGAAAAATTATTTCTCCGTGGCAAACTCTTGGTGGCGCACTGCATTGTGAATCGCCCGAATTAAAAGCTCGATGCTGATTGGATGATAACAAAAACTTTTTCTAGGTTTTTCTATCAGCCAATCAGCATCAGGCTTTCATTGTGTCGGGTTTTCATGCGTACTGGGAGAACTACAACGTACAGGTCTCACGTCTCTGACGGCAAAAAGAGGTAGGAAAGTCACATTTTCTTTGAAAGTGCATTTCAAAATACAACAAACATTAGCTAATCTGAAAAAAAAAAAAAACTGCTTTAGCAATCACATGCAGGCTACGCCGCGGCGGCACAAGTGATTTAACTGTTCAACAGATGGTCACGTTGACCAGTGATTGTGTGTACAATAGCCTGGTCTGCCCCACGCGAAAACACGCTGCGCCTTATTGGTCAGCGGCAAAGTGCGACATTCTCGTCAAGCACTACACTTTTAACTTTCGAAGATAACGAAGGCAATACTTTTGATTCTCGATATGGAAAGATTCCCATATCTGGCCATCACTTGTCACCCTATGCACCAACCCAGTATGAGACTGGTCTGAAACTTTCTGTAAGTGTTTCTCAGTAAATACTTCAATATTTTCCCTGCTAAATTTGACTTTTTAGGACATTCTGATGGCTGATAGGTCACTGAAGGGAAAAATTGGTGATGGTCTTTCCCGCGAGATTAATTATTATTTAATAAAAGGAGCTGGTTTGCGAAATATAGTTTGGTGAAATAGGCTTGTATGCAGTAATTTTGTGAAATAGTGCAATAATTTTGCGAAATAAAGCAAAACTGGTTGTATTGTGAAGGTGCAAAGTTGATCAAGTGCTAGGGTGGTTGGTTTGGACTTAGAATTTTTTTCAGCAACTCCCATTCTTTTTGTGTTGCTTCATGCTCAAATAATGGACCCCAACTCAGTATCCGCGTAGCTGGCATGGACTTGAATTGTTTCTTTTCCATTCCAACCTCGTACTCGTAGCCGGAGATTTTAGGGGTGTATTCCCGAGTGGCGGGGTATTCTGCAATTTACTTCCCGGTAAATGTGTCCGGGGGGACACTTTTACCTAGGTAGATTTGGCTCCCTCCTTTCTCCATGATGCCGAGTTGGCAAGGTGCCGAAGTGATCGGTTACCGACTGTACACAGACCGTCATCACGATTTTGGGTCAACTCGTACCCGAGTTAACTCGTACCCGAGTCAACTCGTACCCGAGCCAACTCGTACCTGAGTCAACTCGCACCCAGGTCAACTCGTACTCCCCTCCTTTTTTAGTTTGGAAGTACGGATGGATGGTTAACAAAAACTCCCGATTTTACCCTCTAAAACGGCAACTGAGAAATAGTAGTTACGCCGCCAGAAATACAAATAAAGTTCAAGGATTAGTTGAAGGCGGTGGTATCAAATGTTGCTCACAATCTGGATGAAAAGGGAAAATGTACCGTTCATCGGCAAGGGCTTCATCGCGACGGGTACCGCGCGGAGAACATTTTCAAAACGGCATCAGTGTGGTATCAGTACTTGCGAGTCGACGGAGCCCTCGCTGATAAACGGTAAATTTCACTTTTCATCCAGATCATCAGATGTGTTATTTTAAAATTTGTGTAGTATTTTCTCTTAGAAATGATGTTATTTCTTTTCTTTTTTCAGAGACCCTGGATCACTGAGATTGCGGAGTGACTGTGCGAACTTTTACGTCTCTTTTGTTCGGTCGAACCGAACGTGTTTCAAGGGCATAGTTTTCTTTTTACGAATTTAGTATTTAAAAAGTCGCTATTAAAAAATGAATTTTGTAATGTAAAAGTAATATTTTTCAACGTTCACTCACTCCATTTTTGGCATCATTTATTGAATAATAACTGCACATGGCACAAATATCACCGTGCATGGTACGACAACGTTGGCCGATGAGAGCGCGCACAGGCCCGGCAAAAACGATATCACCGTGCACGGTACGACCACGTTGGCCGATGAGAGCGCACACAGGCCCGGCAAAAACGATGTCACTGTGCACTAGCCCGACTGCGTCTGGCCGTACAGTACTATCGCAAGCTCTGTAGTACGGCCAGACGCCCAATGCTTCCACAGAGACTGAATTTTTTTGGCCGCTGATGTAGCGATTTTGCTACAGATTTTGATCGAGATTATCTTTTCATCCAGGACACAAATTTCCAAAGTTAAGGTTCTTAGTCGTAAAGCAACTCATACCTTTTCGAAAAAACGTTCTTTGGTCTCAATATTTTCATCCATCTGGCCAAAAGACGACTTTCAGTCGTCATCTTCCACAAATATCGTCCCGAAAATGCTCCCCCATGCGATTTCAAAATGGCGGCCGCGCTGTAATGTATGCATTATGCGAGCGCGCTCGGGCAAGATAATGAATATGCATCATAGTTTATGACGTTTGTCGGACACTCGGCGCGGCTGGCCATACAAACACGAGGTCATGATCTAAATAATGTATATTCATTATCTTGCCCAAGCGTGCTCGCATAATGCATACATTACAGCGCAGCCGCCATTTTGAAATCGCATGGGGAGCATTTTCGGGACGATATTTGTGGAAGATGGCGACTGAAAGTCGTTTTTTGGCCAGATGGATGAAAATATTGAGACCAAAGAACGTTTTTTCGAAAAGGTATGAGTTGCTCTACGACTAAGAACCTTAACTTTGGAAATTTGTGTCCTGGATGAAAAGATAATCTCGATCGAAATCTGTAGCAAAATCGCTACATCAGCGGCCCAAAAAATTCAGTCTCTGTGGAAGCATTTGGCGTCTGGCCGTACTACAGAGCTTGCGATAGTACTGTACGGCCAGACGCAGTCGGGCTAACTGTGCACAGGCTCGGCAAAAACGATATCACCGTGCACGGTACGACCCCGTTGGCTGATGAGTGCGCGCACAGGCCCGGCAAAAAACGATGTCACTGTGCACGGTAAGACCACGTTGACCGGCAAGTGCGCGCACAGGCCAGGCAAAAACGATGTCACCGTGCACGGTACGACCACCATATCCCTCCGATCTTCCGTTCGTTTCACTGATTTTCTTTTCGAAAATAGGCAACTATTTTGAGCTGCGGGTACGAGTTGACTCGGGTACGAGTCAACTCGGGTACGACTTAACTCGGGTACGAGTTGACTGGGGTATGACTTGACTCGGGTACGACCTTACTCGGGTACGACTTGACTGGGGTATCAATTTTGGGGTACGAGTTGACTCGGGTACGAGTTGACTCGGGTACGAGTTGACTCGGGTACGAGTTGACCCATTTCCGTCATCACACGTGTACGTGTGCTATATTAACTGATTAACGACATAACGAGGCATGGCATGAACTGTAGGCCTACACGTACGACAATCTAGCTCTACTGAGTGGAATGTTGAATTACGGGTACCCCTCCATACAAACGCTCCACCGATTTGCCATACTTTGGTGACACCGTCACAGTAGCATAGTCACAAACCCACGCGAGGACAAAAAGACCCCCCAAAAAACGGTAAAGAGAATACAAATGAGAGAGACAGTTATCCTGGATTGATCTATACATTCTTGACATTCCATGAGACCCCTTATATTGTTCCCAAACAGCGAAAAATTTGAAAAAAAACAGCAAAATAGTCTGAAAACTTACAGCTCAATGTGTTTGCAGGGAGGCTCAGTTCTTGAATCCACTTGTCGAATGAGGGCGTCTGACGTGACGTCACCGTCGTTGCTCGATTGAAGAAAAACAAGTCGCGCTTTATCAACGACTGTTTCGTGTAATAATACGTGCTCCGATCCGCGCTGCGCCGTACGACAGTATGGGCTTTGAACACACCCAAGGAGCACGTATCATTACACAAAACAGTCGTGGATAAAGCGCGACTTGTTTTTCTTCAATCGAGCAACGACGGTGACGTCACGTCAGACGCCCTCATTCGACAAGTCGATTCAAGAACTGAGCCTCCCTGCAAACACATTGAGCTGTAAGTTTTCAGACTATTTTGCTGTTTTTTTTTTTCAAATTTTTCGCTGTTTGGGAACAATATAAGGGGTCTCATGGAATGTCAAGAATGTATAGATCAATCCAGGATAACTGTCTCTCTCATTTGTATTCTCTTTACCGTTTTTTTTTTTGGGTCTTTTTGTCCTCGCGTGGGTTTGTGACTATGCTACTGTGACGGTGTCACAAAACTGCGCAATAGTCGTAGCCTTGTTGCCATTTTGTGATTGGACAATAATAACGACGTTGATGCACATGAACGCAAGTACGGCGTACGGTACCATGTACATGTACACGTACGGGCGCCGCATGTACAAGACCAGGTTTTTCTGTGACACATTTCGTTCACATAATGATACAGAAAGGGGGAAAGGAAAAACTTTTAATCATTTCACAAAACCCTACTGTGTATATATCTCGATATTTAAATGAACATTGCAAGATATCTGCAATGATTCGTTGGACATTAATTCTGTGCGTAAACTTTGAGAATGGAAGAATTACTTCTCTCTTTAAAAACAACTTATTTTATTCATCTTTACTCGTGCTTTCTTTGAAAAAAAAATATTTTTACGAATGTAAATTTCTTAATTTTATGTGCATATTATGCGTATTAAATTGATCCCTGCTTTTCTTTTCAATCATTGTTTTAATTTGAAAATAGTTAAGAAGTTTTTAAAAAATACCTCCCTATAATATCTAAAAGGACTGATGATGCGACCGGAAGAACTAATTAGTTAACACTTCAATTCCGTATTCACTTTCATGCATTTCTATTTCTATTGAAATTCTTTTTTTTTTTATGATGTTCATTTATGATAACAGACCGTCACTAAAATGATTGTATTGTATGGTATACCCGAGTGCGGATCCCAGGTGCGTGCAACCACGCTTGCAGCATAGCTACCATGCACTGGAGATATGAAGACACCATCAAACGAATGTCGTTCATCGTCCAATCACAAAATGGCAACAAGGCTACGACTATTGCGCAGTGTCACCAAAGTATGGCAAATCGGTGGAGCGTTTGTATGGAGGGGTACCTGTAATTCAACGGTGTCAGGTCAACTCGCCCCCTGGCCGACTCGCCCCTTACCGACTCGCCCCTTACCGAGTCGCCCCCTGACCGACTCGCCCCCTGACCGACTCACCCCTTACAAGCTCGCCCCCTGGCCGACTCGCCCCCTAGCCGACTCGCCCCCTTGCCAACTCGCCTCCTAGCCGACTCGCCCCCTGACCGACTCGCCCCCTGACCGACTCGCCCCCTGACCGACTCGCCCCCTTGAAAATTATGCACCGTACGGGGACTTCGTGAAATAAAAATAAAGACAGTGGAGCACATTGCCCAGTCGCAACGTGAAACTTAATGGAGCCAAATTACTCAAACGCAAGTTTGAAGGATTTCCGATACCAATGCAAAAAACTATTGATCCTTTTATTAAGAATTTGGGTTGGAAACACCTTAGCACAACTTTACCGATATAGCGCAGCGTGATTTTTCGCGGAGTGCCCGTGGCATAGGGCCCGTTGGCCATGTGCGCGTAGTAGCGTTCACGGTGACTGCCGGCGGGCACGGCAGGTACCGGTGGGTGCCGGCGCGCAACAGCTACAGGTACCCGGCGCGCGGCAGGTATACCCGCGTTCACCGTTTGTCAATGACATAACGTTATAATTGTAAATCTCGACTCTGGGTCCTCAGTTTCATTAAAAATATTTTTCGGAAAAAATAATGTATATTTGAAAAATCAAAAAAATGTTTTTCATTTTTTTGGTTTAGTGGTGTTCTTATCAAACATACCGAACGGTTTTGAAAAAGTTATAAAAGAGGCTCAGAAATGGAACTTTCAGAACCAAATTTTGAATTGGGCAATAAACTCAGATAACGAAGCTGATTTGCTGGACCATCTGTCTTTCCCTCCACTGTCTTTATTATTTTTTTTTTTACGATGTCCCCGTACGGTGCATCATTTTCCAGGGGGCGAGTCGGTCAGGGGGCGAGTCGGTCAGGGGGCGAGTCGGTCAGGGGGCGAGTCGGCTTGGAGGCGAGTTGGCGAGGGGGCGAGTCAGCTAGGGGGCGAGTCAGCCAGGGGGCGAGCTTGTAAGGGTCGAGTCGGTCAGGGGGCGAGTCGGTCAGGGGGCGAGTCGGTAAGGGGCGAGTCGGTAAGAGGCGAGTCGGCCAGGGGGCGAGTTGACCTGCAATCAATTCAACGCTCCACTCAGTAGAGCCATGGAACGGCAATCCTGGCCTTGGGACACACATCTATCGTCTCTCTTCTTGCCTTTTTCTTGCCTTATTTACAGAACCTTCATGATATAAGACTTGAAAGAGGTTTTACTATGCATTGATATAATAAAATCAAATAATATACACCAATATCATGATTTTTTTCAATAACATAAAAAGACAAACCTCCTGCCGAATGCGCAGAAGCTACCGAAGTCGCCATTGTTGCACGCAGTCTGGTTCCCTGACTAGATGCCCTGACGTATTAATTGGAGCCATTGTCACCGAGTCGGGGGGGGGGGGGGGGGGGGGGGTGGCCAGGGAGGAATTTCCTGCATGATTGTATCATACAGTTTGATATTTCTGTAAGAAAATAATCAGGGGCGGATCAAGGATTTTCCAAGGGGGGGGGGAAGGGGCGTGAAATGTGGCGCCCAAGGGGGGGGGGGGGGGGAGGACATAATGTGATTTAAAGTATTGCGAGCGCGTAGCGCAAAGCCTATAACTTAACAGCGTGGGTAGGGGCGGCGGAACCGGGGGGATTTTTCCAGGCCAATAATAGTGCCCCTCTCGTGGTTATTAATCATGTGCCTCGAGATGAAAACAAAACTGCCCCCTCAAACGCAAACGTATGAAAGCATATGACCGCGCTACACATAAAATTGTCTCCTCTCTTGTATAAACGCAAAACTGCACCTCAAACACACAAGTACCCCTCTCGCTTTTTTGTGCAACTTCTCAAGATGGAAGTTGCGCCTCGAAAGATAGTGCCCCGCTCGCAACTTAAATCAATTGTGCCCCCAAGATGAAAAACTAGTCACGCGAATAAAATGGTCACATAAATGACCATTAAAAAGCAACAGTGCCCCTATCGCTCGCAATATGGCCTGTAGCTACATATGGAGCTAGGACCAGGAAAGACAAAGAGCAAGATGGACAACATGATTATTTCATTCCTCGTCATATTAATATAGCGAAATGAACGGGACCATATATATTCTTTTCCTCCACTTTCACACCGTACCGACGGAGGGTGCCCACGGATTTTTCTGAGGAAGTGCCCCTTTTTGGTGTTGCCCCCCTCTCAGTTTGAGAAGCGTTGCGGCCTTTTTTAGCAAAAGATCATCATTAATTACATATCGTTTTCGAGTTGAGAGTCATTGAATCAGCTACACATATCCTGAGCTATGTATAAAATCAAACTGTTGGCTAATTTATTCGGGGACGAAAAAAGTGTGTGTGTGTGTGGGGGGGGGGGGGGGGGGGGACACAAACGATATGAAAACCCGGTGGCATTAAAAAAAGGAGGGGGGGGGGGGGAGACATGTCCTTTCCCGTCTCGACCCCCTCCCCCCCGACCGATTGACGCACATGAATGCCGAAGGCGTGCCCGCCCGCCCTAGTATGAGGTCTGGGTAACTAACTATAACAGCATACGGCCCCAATGTCGCCTCCGCGCACGGTGAAATCGTTTTTGCCGGCTCGCAGTTTGTACCGTTCGCCGTTTCTTAAAGGTCTATTTTTTTCATCACTATTTTCAACCCAAAATATGCATAACTGTTTTTTTTGAAATATAGGTTTTCCTGGGGCAATTTTCGAAATTTTTGTAATCATTTTCATTATCAGCCATTCAATTTCGCGTGATTTTTTTCCACACGTGATTAAATTGGGGTTCTTTTTTCAATTGGGGGGCATTCAATGCAGCCAAATTTTTGCATGCACTGAATGTTCGTTTTCGTTTTAGGACTTTCTTTTTCGTTTTGATGCATTCAAGACTTAATTTGTAGCATTCCTAATTTAAGTCTCAACCTGTGACGGTTGACGCATTCAAATTAGCGAACATCGGTGCGCTTATAACGTATTAGGCAAAAAAAGTCTCCGGTTTCTGGTATGGAGCTTGCCTTTTTTTTGCTTCAAATGTCGGCGGATGACTGCAAAATGGTGCCCGACTAAACATAGTGCAAATATATGGGAGTCAAGAGAGGCCACATAAAGCTTATTTTCGATCATAACCCCATCTAAAAACACGTTCAAATTGTGCAGCAGCAGGATTCCAGTCAAACCAGTGAGTTTGGTGGTTTTGAGACATCATCTTTCATTGAAAAAAACTTTTTCATTTTGCCGACGCGCATGGCTACGGCGACGCGCGCGCATACCAGAAACTGGAGACTTATTTTTTTTTGGCCTTACCATGCTTTTCGTTTCTTCGTTTATGGCCAATCATTTTCATGGTTTTGGTCATTCATATAAAAATATTTTTTTAAATTGATATATAGGTTATTTTCCCGGCCGATTTCCTGAAATGCTCAAATACTTCTAAAAATTACTCTCTCATTTTCGTCTGAATATGAATGCACAATCGTTTTCATTGTCCGTGCAGTCGGTTTTGAGAAACAGCCTACGGCCAATTCCGTTACCTGTGCATTCATTTAGGCAAGCACACCTCTTCGCGCAGAGTTCGTGAATGTGCACTCAAAAGTACATTTTCTCATTCAAAATAGCAGATTGCATCACATAACATTAAGCTAAAAGTGAAATAGAATGGCCAATGTTTAAAAACGCCCTCTAAAAGCGAAAGTTTTGTAAACGAATCTGAATGAGCATAAACTAAGGTGCTGCTCAATCACGCAATTGATTGAACTGAAATGGAATCGAATGCTCTGAACGCGTGTTCAGAGCGATTCTCAAATTCAGACGAAAATGAATGACCGATTTTCAGAAGTGACTGAACATTTTAGGAAATTGGCCGGTGGTGTTCTCTCCTATGGATTTGTACACGTTTTTGTTCCACTAATATACTTCTGTAATACACATCTGTAAATCAGATTGAGTAGGCCTTTACACATAGACCAACACCCGCAGATGGTCCCCAACGATTCTCCGGCGTCACGATGGCGTCATAAGCCTGTCAAGTTACGCCACATTAAAGGTGCCTGTTTCTAAGCCCTATATCTTCTAGAGTAGGCCTACAAGTCGTTTTTTTTGGAAAAGGAAAATATAGATGTAAATTTGAGTGACGTCGTGATGACGTCATCACATGTCATGTGACCTCGCCTAAAAGGACAACTTTGCTGGGGCTAATCTAGAGAACTAAAGGTCCGATTCAGTTGTACTTGGTGTATAGTGTTGATATTTAGTGACATCATGTGTTGTCGATGAAATTTGAAGCATCGTCATCACATATGTTACAGAATCATTTTAAACAGCCGAAACAGCTGTGTTCGTCCACAAGCACAATTCTGGCTTTCTATTCGAGTTTAAACCACATTTCCCCTTCCCTGCCCGGCCGGCGATTTTTTTCCCCAAACAACATCCGTATTGAGTGTATACGCTATGACGTTTTGGACTTCTCTTAAAACATGAGAAAAAAATATAACATCAGAAGGAGAAAAACAAATGGTTTCGAACGTGATGAAATTCAGACTTTATTTCCCTTTAAAAAATCCTCCAAAGTCTCAGATTAGAAAAAAAAATCGGGTTAAAATGGTGATCCGAACCCATACCGCGGGCATCCCTCGCGGATCCTTTCCAACTGAGCTCATGATCGCATTGCTTGACAAATTCTGGAAATTCATGGTAATAATAGGCCATATATATACCTGTGTACGTATCATAACAGTATCGTACAGGACGCCGAGCTAGCAATCATGCACATGTAATGCGGAGGTTGTTTGGGAAAAAAAATAATTCGCGGACCGCAATATTATTTCTAATCAGAGTATCCAGCCTACCAAAAATAAATGTTAATCCCTTCCGTCTTAACTTTTTTTCTCATCACAACCTGCACCAGAAGTTTTTTTCTTTGTGATTATATTCATTCCCAGAATTCAGCCTACCTAAAAAATAAGTTAACCCTCCCCTTCTAAGATTTTTTTTTTATTGGAACCTTGACCCAACTTTTTTTTATCGTACCGCCCGACTGCGTTATTATATCCTTCCCGAGTATCCAGCCTGTCCAAAAATATGAATCCCCTTCTTTTTTTTCTCACAGAAGCCTACACCAGATGGGTTTGACAAGTCCGATAAATAGTTATATACACCCCCCCCCGACTGGAATTATGCCCAGTTTTTTTTTGTCCAGGCATGCATTGGTAATACATTGTGTGAGAGATCTCCTTGTAAAATGTAAATAAGTTAAGTTACATTCCATCAATAATTGTGAAGTAAAACGCAGTCACGTCTTGTTTTGGTCTGTCTTTTGACGCGAGATTGTATTGTGAACGGGTAACACATCACAAGGTATGTCAATTACTCTGAATAATAAGTAATTTGGTCTATTGTTTCCTTCCCAGTTTCACGCTGCATAGCGTTTCCTGCTGAGACCTGTTTTCGAGTTTCGCCGCCATTTTCTCCGTGTTTGCGTGCAGTGTTTGTAACCTTGCTCACTATACCCGGTAATATGATGGCCAATATTCTTGCCGGTAAGTTTTGATCGTAATGCTTTGGTTGATGTTTTATTTGGTCTTTGACAAACAGCCTGGACGAAAACGTCACTCCACATCGCGGGAAACGCCATCTTGGATTTGAATATGAAATCAATCACCTACACATGTGCTTATCCCCGACCTATTAGAAGGATTTTACAGTCATGATTATCCTCATATTCTGAATGGTAAACTAAGGATTGAGGAAAGAATGTTGCAACCTGACGCAACTTTATTGTGTACAAAATCCATGGAAAGTGAACATTTTCTTATAATATAAGTCTTTTCTAACAAAATTGGAAAATGTTTCTCAGTCCGAGATTCATGTCTTATCATCATTTTTGCAACGACTGACCTTCATTGAGATGATATATGAAGAAAAAACCAGCATCAGGTTACAACATTCTTATTCCAGGATTGAAAATCACCGACGCACATTAAGACAGAAATGTCTGAAAACCAGTCCAAAAAAATATCAACCTTTTGTGTACTGTACGTAAAGTGTAATTGAATTTCAAGTCCGAACATTGCTTGACAAAGAATGTGCATGTACTTCTTTTGGTGTGTACAAAGTCTATGAAGAGCTGATTTTCAGAGTATTTTCTAAATTTCAGATTTATTTTCAATATTTTTGAAATGACCAATGTTCATTGAGATAAGATATTTCTTAATGACAAAGTTGGTGTCGGGATGCAATATTCTTTCCATGGTGCTGGGTAATAATTATGTATACTTCGTGTAGACCTCCATGCACCCTTTAAATGTGGGTTTAACACCGTGTGCAGTTCTGAGGATATCAGAGGGGCATTTCATGAAAACAGTCTTGTCGTCGCATTTTCCCCTATTTTTGATTTTTTTG